TATGTGAACTTTTGGATATAATGAATGAAACCGAGATCACAAATCTCGTTACCAATAAGCTGTAAGGCTGTATCGAAAACAAGGATGGTAAGTACTTGTAATTTATTTAGAGTATGGGACATTGGTGAGAAGAACGACATCTAGTTAAGGACATTGTAGTTACAAATGTTACAATACTAGTAGTTCTAAATATAAATATTAAATTGGCCGGCCGTCTCAGACAATCGAACGACACAAAATGGTTTTTTTAATCGTAATCGACTTAGAACTCATGCGCGGTTGTAAATCGAGAATAAAATCACATTAATTGAATATTATCGATCGGAATGAAAATAAAATGTTTTATTGGCACGTGGAGACGACGTGCGTGATCGCTCTGTATGTAGGTATATATTATTATTATGGGTCACGGTTATAACGCGTCATATTTAGATCATAATAGTGCGTTTATAACCTATATGTATTTTATAATATACGTATTATAATAATACACACACACACACACACACACACACATATACACACACACACTGGACGAGATACATCTGTCTTATTATGGGTGCATTAGCCGTTGTGCATGCGTACCTATATTATATTGGTATATGGTATATACTACTATATAAAGTATAACTATAATAAATAATATTTCGGAATGAGAGAATATAATGTACCAACGGGACGATGATGAGGGGGTGATGGGTTGAGGGGATCAGCGGCGGCGGCTAAGGATTTATTTTCTATAGGTGTCGTAACCTATTTTCGGCGGGGTACGTGCCTGGAAATTTATTGGTTTATGATAAAGCGTACACCTGGACACACCGCACGTCGCAGAAGCCGCGGCCTCATCTGCTGCAGTCGCATTTTTGTTGTTGTTTTTTTTTTTTTTTTATTGGCTTTATATCGTTTAGACGAATTGCGTTATTGTTAATGTTAATGCAATGACTGAATGAGAGAGTATACTGCGGCATGTACATAATATTATATATAGGCACCTATGGAATAATAATATCATATAATATAGAACATCGACGCGGCTTGATCGATTATGGCACACCGCCTATCTATACATCCATTGTTGTCACAGTACATTATTGTGAAATATTTTTTTAAATCGTCCGTGCAAGAAAATCAAAAGTTAATCGTATATAGCATAGGTAGGTACTTATATTACATTGACGAACACGCGAGCGTGCTGTATATAAAAAAGCGTCAATTGGTTTATTATCGTAATTCGTAGCCACAGGACCAGAGCAACCGTGCCGATAAAATAGATAGTTTGCTACTGAAATAACACAGACAAATAGGCAACTATATTAGTTAGTCATCATTTGTTTCGTTCTCTAAACAAAACAATTTCTGACGCGATTTTTCACACAATATTTTCTGTCTAACACTCTAACGTCTGTATATATTCTAATCAAATCTTGCTCTGGATCCATTAATGGCGTAGTTATCTATAATCTACTAGCTACTATTAAACCTAATAAACCTAAATACATATTGTAAAAACATATTTGAACATGAATAATATAGTTAAATACACGAACATATTATTATCATCACCATAGGCATGCAGGCGTGCCCGAGTCATGTTATCAAAAACTACAAATTCTTTATTAAAATATAAATTTAAATAAGTCGAATACTGCTACAAGAACCTGGGCAATAAATACAATTACCGCTTTGCCCATCTCCCCTCAATAATACGCAAACAGTAGTACCTACTCATTTTTTTCCAGGAGACTGGGAGAGTCAAACATATTTCAAAAAGTTTTACTCTTAACTCTCTATGCTTAGTGAAAATATTGAAATGAAGCCAAAAAAAATGTTATTAGTTATGTACCATTAACATCACCTCCACTAACCTTATAAGAATTTCAGTCAACACTCCTGTTAAGTATTAACCCCTTATGTGGAACACGCTGAACTCACGAATTAAAAGAAAACATTGATATGCGCACTGCGTTGGTTATTAGTGCAGGAATGTAAAAATTAAATTAAAAATACAAAAACCGTTGCGACAATGCTAGCTATCGACAAGTGTGAACCAAAATTCTACATACTAGTAATAGTGTTCATTCCTGACAGTAATTAACTATTATCTAACATCTAAGTATCAAATTATAAAATTATACCCACATTATAAATGGTTTTGTATTATAGAAATTCTGCTTCATAATTTTAATATCGTTATATATTATCACAAAAATGACGATGGCAAAAATAAGTAATAACAATTTATTATAAACTTATTATATTTATTATAAACTTTGAGGAGCTTCGAAACTTAACTATGGCATGATGTGTTAATATTAATGAGTCATCAGACACAGATATGTCGATTTTTAGTTTATAGCACTCTCGTCTGATCTTCATTATATCCTATAGGTGTCATTAAAATAATTTTATTATTTATTCCAAATTATGCTAACGTATTATATCAGAGATGCCCAACCCACGGCCCGCAGGCCACATGTGACCCACGAAAGTATTCTATGTGGCCCGTTACGAATTTTCTAAAATAAAAAAAAAATTTTAAAATGTATGAACAAATTTTTCAATTATTTATATTTAAATTTATGAATTCGCTTAAATAATTATTCCAAAAAATACAATAATAATAATAATAATAAAACTAAAAACTATACAAAAATCTTTTACTTTTATTTTTAATGTAAAATTTAAGCTTGTACTTCTTTTACTAATAATGAAAAATCTGGTTGAAATCTAGTGGTTCCAAACCTCAAAATTGAATGAAGGTGTTCATCCGTAAGTCGCGATCCATGAACTGATTTTGTTTATTTCATTCTTGAAAATATCTGTTCGCATATATACGTCGAGTCAAATACAGTAGCCATTTTCATTATAAAGTCTCTTAAAGCAGGGAAATCTTTGTGTGGAATTTTGAATAAAATTTTAAAATATCGTTTTGTTTCATTTTTTGAAATTCATCACAGTAAAACCATTATTATATTTTTGTTTTTTTCTGTCTGAAATTTTCATACGGAAACTTTACAATTAAATATCAATATCACCCGTGTACTTAAAATAACGAACTGATCAAATTAATGTATACCTATTACCTACGATATGTACCTCAATTCATAATCTTTTCAATAGACAATAAAAGATAAGAAAACAAGTCCAATATATAAGATTATTTTTGTACTTTTATACTTTGTGGCTCGCTTGAAGATAATTGTTTACCAAAGTGGTCCGCCAAAGAAAAAAGGTTGGAGGACATCACTGTATTAGATTAATTATTTAATCATTTTTACTGATTTCAATAATTGAATTATACGTAAATAGTATCGATTAGAATCTTACACTACTGTAAGTTTAATGTGCATTTTTCCAAAATGTTATTCCAACTCATTTAAACATTGGCAAATAAATTTTCATAAAAAAAAAAAAAAAAAAAGTTTAACATTTATTTACAAATACAGTGGATTCCGCATAATGTGGGCAAAATGGTCTAGTCCCAATTCCAATGTATACGAACAAGGTAACAAGAATCGCATAATATGGGCACTCAGTTCGGTTTATATGGGCAATTTTTATTTTATCATAGTGTTAGAATATACACAAGAGGGTAACGAGGGTAGGGTAGTTCATCTGATAAGCTTGAAGCGTGGGCCACTTTTGTAAACTAGATCCACACTTAACAGCTTAGACAACGAGTAATTACAATTTTTGTATACCCTTCACATCCAAAAAGTAATTTTATTTAGTATGTTATGTTTAGTTATCTAACTTTTACTAACATTAACTTATAAATAACTAATTAGGTATAATATTAAAGGGCAGAAAGAAAAATACTATGTATGAAAAATAGATAGTAATTTAACATACTAGCACGGGCCCTACGTTTATAAACCTATTTAATCATTGCTATATATTATATTTAGCAGCAATGTGTATAATATATTTAATATATAAAAAGCCTAGAAATTCTATATAATACCTGGTGACTTTTAAAGAAGTGATAAAATATTTTTTTTTACATAAATTTCCTAAATATTTTGTACTATAACTAGACATTTCATAAAATTACAAACAATAAATTTACAATCTGTAGAATAGAAAATTACTAGAAATCCAAATAAATCAATTTCCTTTTATCATAATAAAGACAATTAATATTGTTAGCACATAAAAAAAATATTTATTACTAAGTACTAATTTAATATTACAGAATATAATGCATAAAAATGAAAAAATAATAATAATAATTGTAAATTGTATAGGTAGTACACAATTATTAATTATTATTACTATTATATTATTTTAGAAAATATGAAAATCCGTGTAGAACGTAGGTACTTATATAGGCATAAGGCAAAATGCAATACACTTTTTTAAATTTATTTTAAATTTCGTCTAGACAAAATGAATATTATTAAAATTTAGAGATATTCTATTATTACAAAAAAAGATAAGTGCAATCGAAATTACACTCCATTAAACTTATTGATATTATATTACTACTAATGGATATGTATTAGTTGAAGGTACATCGTCAAATATCAATACCGATTACCGATAACATAAATTTATTACATTACCTATACATTGTTCGACATTTCATATAATGCTCAGGACGCTTAGGTAATTTAAACGATTTTACAGATTGTCGGCTGTAATTGGTATTATAGAGAGTTTCTAGACATTTTATAAAATACCAATATTATACACAATGTCGCTAACATGTAAATTATAAATTATAAATTATTCTGCTACGTTTATGTATAATTAATATAATAATATTGTGTCTACGTCACACGAACATCAAAATAATTACAGGTTATTATTAACTGTTTTGTTTCAAAATTGTTTCAAAACCCAATGTTTATCTATGCATAGATAATATACCTACCCATTTCAATAATAGATACAAGTGAATGGGAATAATAAATCTATAAATAATATTAAACTATTAACTGAATTGTTAACATTAATAAAATGTTAAACGTCGTTCGCCAGTCGCCAGTCGCCGGCCATTCGACATTCCACGAAGGATGATAAATGTATTATTATTATTACTACTGATACACCTTTTCAATTGCTTACTTAATATTTAAGTAATATTTATATACCGTACCACTGATGTCTGATACTGTGTTATGTTCATCGAAGGTGCAAACGCCAGCTCTGCTCTCTCTCAACTTAAACACGCCCATGCTTATTAGTATTATGTTATTATACTTAATGGCTGTTGAACATTCGATGTTTAATAATACCCATTGTGTTGAGTAAATGTTTAAAGACCTTGCAAGTTGCAGTCCACCCCTGCGAAGACCACGATAAAGTAATTATTAAATATATTTAATTTTTTTACGTGAAAAAATAAGAAATAGAATAATTGTTATACCTACCTATGTGGCATGTGCCCACATTTGAACATTTCAGGTGAAGTGAGAAAGAATTCTTTGAAAATTCAATATATTTAAGGTGCGTATTCAAGTATTTCTAACCCCAATAATTTTAGAACTAATCAGTGCCGTTCCCGGATTTGATTTTGCGAGGGCCTGGGCATCATTAGAATGCAAGACCCCCTGGACTTACAATATTATATCGAAATCCATAGCCCATAACCCACTTAAATAGCGGTTCTCGATCTTTTTATAAGTACTCGAGTACCATCTGACCATTACGAAAATGTCCATATGTACTTGATCTAATAACTTTCTTTTGTTATCAACAAATATATACGTTATTTACATGTAAAAGATTATAAAAGCATTATCTAAATTGCTACGAAATTTAACACATACTATTACAGTATTTTAATAATATCAGTACCTATCAGCTATTCAAAATTTAATAATATTGTTTCTTATGTTATTCTAAGAACAGTCAGTTGATTGTAAAAACGTTTTTTTTACTTTGCAAACATTAAAATTATCTGAAACATATTTAAATTGCTAAAATTTTTGAAATTTTTTTTATTTACACGATTTATTATAATATTATTGTATATACATGAAGCCCTTCGAACCTTGAGGCCCTGGGGGGTGCCCTGTTTGCCATGACCTCGGGACGACACTGGAACTAATTAATAATTAATGAAGCGATATTGGTAAAAATAGAACCTGGAATCCATGATGCATATATTCAATCTCTATAAACTATTATTATTTTTCAATGAGTAATAACCTTAATATTAGTAGTAATATCATTATTTATAAGAATTAAAAAAAAAAAAGAATTCTAAAATAGGTTAGAAACTATATATATATCTATGTTACGGTAAATGATGTTAAATGGAAATTAACGTTATTCACCGGTTATTAACGTTATTTACCAAATATACAGGTAATTATCGTTATAAACTGGATAATCACGTTAATGACCAAATACACAGGTAATTGATGTTATAAATCAGATAAGCGCATGAATCTCAAATACTACAATTTGAAAAATTATGTAAGTACCCAGATATTTTTAAAAATAGAATAAATGCATTATTATTTTTTATTTATTTTTACAAGTTTTACTCCCATGACATTTAATATAACATAATTTTTCAGCCCCAAGGTAGGCACAATGCTTATTATTATTACAACTAGTCTTGCAATGACAACGCTGGTACCTTCGAGGGCTCGCAACCGAATTATTACTAGCTACTTCCCTCAGTGTCAACTGTCTACCATATGCTAATTTTATCACATTGTCCATGTCTAATAGATTTTATTTGCAAACAGCTATTTTTGGCATGTGAAATAATATTTAAGAAAACTATATTCCGTACTTATAAAATAATAAAACAAATTTTAATTTTAATAGTATATTTTTTCATTAAGAATTAACTTACAGAGTTTGTATAAATCATGTTCAACTTGAGTGACAACTGATAGTATATTTTGCATAGAACCACGAGCTCTATCAACGTTTGGTATAAATACACATACAGTTAAGCCTATTTCAAGCTAAGGAAACTTTTCTTTAGAAAATTTCATCATTTCCTCTCCTTGTTTTTCTAAATTTTTTTTTGAATTTTTACATACAATACAAATATTTTCTTGACAATCATCAAAAAAATATTTAAAATAATTTTCAAATATTTATATTTTAGTTTTATTTTTGTTATATTTAAAATTCGGAAATTTATCGTTAAATAATTAAAAAATATTTAAGTACCAAGTTCCGAATTTTTTTCTGCGATTTTTATGATTTAATTTCCGATTTTGTCTTCTTTGATGATTGGTTCTTTGGTTATTTTTTTAAATCTTCCGCAATAACCTCTTTTATTTTATAATCAGATCAAAATTTCCCAAATCATACGGTTATTAACGTTATTCACTAGAAAATAACGATAATTCCCACATTCGTAGGTAAATAACGTTAATAACCGGCGAATAACGTTAATTTCTGATATAACATCATTTACCGTAACATCTATATGGATATCTGAATATGCAATATTTATGTTTATGTCTCATTAATATTCCAAAAAATGAATCAATCAGTACCTACTTTCTTTAAATATGAAATTGATGTGCTAATAAAATTCAAAATTTAAATGGCACAAATATTTTTATTATTAGCAGAAATGTCTGTACTTCAATATCAAGAAGATGGTGTATTTGACGAAGCATTTAAACATTTGTTAAATCCTATTGAATCAATTGCAATAAAAGACGAATGTGAAGTTCTTCAATATGATCTTACCAAGGTAAACCTCAACATAAAATTACACATGTTATGTTACATATTAATAAAGTTTACTTTATATTAGGTATTGGATTCTTATTTAAATCACTTGAGAAAATCTCCAAATGATAGTTCTTCAGTTTTTGTAGAAGCTGCTATAATTATTCAAAATATTTCACTTATTTATCAAAAAAGAGTTGATGTCACAATCAATGCCATGATGAAACTTATTGGGAAATTTCGATCTTAGTGAGTTACTAAGACATTAATATATTATCTAGTTCTTTGTTCCATGTAATTGAAATACATTTTCCCCTAGATTTTGAGAATTAATTATTTGACGCTTACTTATGAGTTATATTCTTGTTTTATTTTTATTATACTAATTAAAGTATTAATCTGTTCAATTAATTCAATATTGTTTAGCATTTTATTTTATCGATATATATACTGTGATATTTAATTGTCTATTTTCTTTAAGATGACTTCTTTTTCCAATTCTCATTTGTCTTCTATTAGTTGATACCTATTTAGCATCAGCATACAAGTTCTTTAATATTTTTTTTTAATATTAGACATTGCTGTCTTTTTCTTAGTTATTTATTTTTGCAGTTGGATTCACTAGTTAAATTTTTTTTTTTAAATATAACATCTATCTGGTAACAAAGCTGATATCAATGATTAGTTATATTGGTATTATTATTTAATTTTAAATGTACTTAATTAATACTAATTATTTATTTGATATAACAGTCGATTATATGAAAATATTGATCCAGACTATTATACAGAGAAGAGGGTAGGAAATAAAAAGAATAAAATAAATAAAAAGATCAAATGTTATTCTTCTTTTGGCCCAATTGAAGGTCAAATTGTTGGAACATGTAAGTTGATATAAAATGGCTTATATAACCTATAGCTATTAAATTGTAATCAATAAATAATTTGAAACTTAAATTATACAGTGAAAATTTTTGATTGCAAACAAATAAATTTGGGTAAAAAACCACGAGTTACAAAAATTATTTTAAACACCAATATTAAAGTAGATAACAAATATAGTAAAATATTGCCTTATATTTGTAATAAAAATGGAGAAAATATTGGGAAAAAATATGATTTTAAGTAAGAATATGTTTTATATTAATACCAAAAAATAATTAGGTGATGGTACTATTTTAATTAATTTTAAATTATTTTTTTAAGGATTAATTTTCCTCTGGATTATGATTTGGCTGTAAATGAAGAATTTCATTTTCCCACTAAAGAAGACTCAAAATCTAAAAATCTTATCAATTATCGAAATAATACTAATGCAAAGCTAACAGTACTGATATTAATATTGATTTATGTTTTTAATAAACTATGATTTTTTTTAACATAATTATATAATAATTTAGTTACCAATGAATTTATTGAATGTTGATGGAATACTACCAAGTGCTTCCAACTCGGTAATTTTTTATCAGAATGTTACTGATGATATTTGCGTTGTTAATGAAATGTTACCAAAGTAATTAAATATGCTTGAATTAATACTTACGATCTTAAGATGCTTTATTCTTGTGTATATAATATTTTATAGTCCAATAGACATGTTAAGTGCTAATCAAATAACTCCAAATAATGATAACAATGGTCCGAGAGCTAAAGTTTTAAATGCCAAGAGTGATTTTAATACAGACAAACGTTTTGGGGAAACAAATGATTCCCCCAAAAAAGTAAGCCAACATTTATTGTATTAATGCTGAATCTAGGACAGTCATTTTTCAAAATTAACTAATATTAATATTGGATACCTTGTTTTTGATGATGATGGTGGATTATTTAGAAATTTATAGCCGCAGAGGTAAGAGATAATCTCATTAAGTTGAGGATCCATTTAAGGCATTAACTATTAAAGGATTAAAATGTACGTTTTAGTTACCTATATTGGAAAAAAAAAATTATTTGATAATAGCTGTTTTACATTGTACCAATTTTTCAAATGTTTTAATAGTAAATTTCATTGTAATCTATTTTTATTGTTTTATTTGAATAATAATATACAATTTATCTAGGGTAGAAAATTATTATTGTCTACGTGTATAAATACAAAATTGCATTCCTTGGTTCATGATGAGGAAGTGGAAAAAATAATAAAAAATGATGGTATGTTTTAAATTATAGTGTATCTATTAAAAAGTCTCTCTTTTTATATTTACATATTTATCTTTTGTTCCAAATTTTTTTCTTTGAGAAAGTAATTTAAGTTAGATTTAATCATTATTAATTTTGTCATCTTCTCATACCACATTATGGTTTAAATATGGCCAAAAATGATAGTTTTATTATTTTTTGAATTTATTTAAGAACCAATTGAACATTTTCAAACATATCAAAGGAATTCAATGGAACATTTTCAAACATTTCAAAGCAATTCTATTGAAAATCTTCAAACGTATCAAAGAAATTCGATAGAAATGCAAGATTATGAAAAAAATCAAATGAGAACGGTAAGTTGATTTCAACACTCCAAAATAAATTGTAAATCGTATTTTATTAGTTTAGATGAATGATCAATTGGAAATGCAAAAACGAGTTCAAGAATGGCATGATAAACTTAGACCGATTTTGGAAAACGAAGAAAAAATGATTGAATTTGATGTACACAAATATGGAACACATATATTAAGCTGCTTTGAATCTATTGGGGAACAAAAACTATTCAAAAATTTAGTAGCAGGAATTAACAAAGAAGAAGTTGCTCGATATTATTTATCTTTGTTAATGATGGTATTAATAATTATTTTTAGTTAATCTATTTAAATTTATAATCATAACATTATTATACTAGGTAAATACAAATAATTTAGAAATATCAAATCATACTGATGGAAATGAACTATTGATAAAACTATTAAAAAAAGAACGCCATCACGAAGAACTACAATTTAATATTGAGAATCTAGTAAATAAAAAACAAAATTCACTATGAATATTTAATGTACACATTGTTTTTTTTTTTTTTAATTTAATCAAATTGTATTTATGGTATTCATTTAAAATAATTAGTTTTATTAATCTTATTCTCATGTTTTATTGATTGACAAACAAAATTATTATAGTAGAACAAAAACTAATTATACATTTATAGAGTTCTTAATATATTTATGTTTAAATAAACCTAGAATAAAAAGAGATAATTTAATGATTATTTAAATTAAGTATACAAAAAACTAAATTGTAATAAAACTTGTAGGAGTATAAACGTGCAATATATTTAAAAAATAATAATAATTAACTTATTGTGTATTTAAAATTAGGTGACATTTTCTTTTTAAGATCTTATCTGAAGTAGCTTTTAATGATTAACGCAGAGAAAATGCTATACTTTCATCAGTTTCGGCCAGAGGATATTCTGCAAGGTCCATCATTATCACTTTACTGATTAAACACTGCCCTTCCTAAAAATTTGACAAAAAAAAAAAAATAAATAAATACATTTTCAATACCAATTAATGTGAAAGACTATGGCTAATGTGCTAAATTTAATTGTTGATAATAATCTTAGGTATTTGATTGTTATCGTTCTGCGAATTAACTAATAAATTTATTTATTTGCCACTAGCCCAGCAATATTTTTTTAATGCAATTATTGTAAAATATAACTTAATACATTTTTTAAATTACTTTTACACGCACTATTTTGTCAAAAGTTAGGTTAGGTTAGAACAGAAGTTAGCAATATACTAACAAAATGTTAATTTATTAAATGAATTATTTACCACCACTCAACTATGTAATAATAATTTGTCAAGCCATCTTATTCTAATGACGAAACTGGCCAATGGACCTTTCGTTTTTAATTTAAATCTTATTTACATAATGTATATTTATATTTTCTACATTAGTTTTTAATTTTTATTAGTATTAAGATTTTATTGTTGTTAATACATTTAATAAATGTTTTTGTTTGATATGTATTTAATTTTGGTAACTTTTACTATTTTCATTTTTTTTTTTTTTGGAATTAGCACAGTTTATACATGAATAGGGCTCAGAACTCAGAAGTTGATGCATTTTTTCTTTTTTTTTTGAACCTATTAAACGATGCTCTTCTGGCCACAAATGCATTTTATAAACATTTAAATTTAAATAACTAATTATTACACTTTGCATTTTTTACTTTTTGTAATTTTTAGGTCCTATTTTCCTTTTTAGTTCAATTCATTGTATTTATAATTAGATTTTGTCAGTTAACAGCTTTACACAGACTTTATATAAGTACCTACATCAAATTTATATTTTATAAATTAATATTTTACACAAATTAAATGCGGGTTAAATAAAGATAAAGATTTGATAGAATAAAGCAATTGCTAGTAGTAATTTTTACTTTTGACAATATAAAATATACTTAAATATTATAATGTAATAATTTTGAATAATTTTTATTACTATTACTATTCTATTAAAAAAAAAAAAAAATTATTTTTACTAATTTTTAACAAATATTTATAATTTTTTAGGTTATTTTAAAATCATATTAGCATTTTTGAGTTATTTTTAATGTTTTTTAAGGTCATCAACTTCTGAGCCCTATGCATGAATAATTAAATAATAATTGTGTGGCAGTACTAGGTTAGTAGCAGCCAGCAGGACAGTAACAAGCTTTTAATTTAAATAGAACTCGTAGAGCAATTAAAATACATAAAAATAAACATAAGAGTAAATTTATTCCAAAAATCTGGTAAATTCAAGAAAAGCTTGGAAAAACAATGAAATTTGAATTTACTTATCCATAGTTGTAACACTGTTAAATTCTGCAAATATGTAAGAGCTTCTACTGTGTAAAAACAACTACTTACATCTGGACAGATCCCAACTAGAGCATCAGCATGATGGAAGAATTCTTCTTTAAGAGATATAACTATGGTTTGTAAATTAGTTTTTTTCTGTAGAATGTAAGAAGCGACTTTTCCAATATTGGTGTTGTCCAAAGCAGCATCTATTTCATCAAGTACAAAAAATGGAGCTGGCTGATAACTATAAAAAAAATATTTAATTAAAATTTTTAAAATAATTATATTCATAGTTATTTATACAAATTACCTGTGAATGGCAAATAATAAAGCTAATGCAGCGACAGTTTTTTCCCCTCCTGATAAATTGGACATGGGTTGGAAACGTTTGCCAGGAGCTACACAATTATAATTTATACCATCTAAATAAGGTTCTTCTGGGTTTTCCGGTCCCAAAAAAGCCTGAGCAGATTGATTTTTAGATAAGGCCTATCAAAAACAATAAAAATGTTGATATTATTATGAAAAAATGTACATTTTAAATAAATAAATTAACCTTATATATCAAATCAATTTCATTTGCTACATGTTCAAAACATTCTGTAAATTTGTTGTGTCTCTCTTTCTTAATACGCTCAAAGTTTTGTTTAGCTTTCTTGGCACGAGTTCGTGCAGTGTTAAATTCCCGGTCAGTTTCTTGCATTTTTTCTCTAGCTTGATCCAATTTTTGCATTGCCTATTTGACATTTTTATTTAATTATTGAATTTTAAATGAAATCTTCATGATACACAAATAATACAACAATATTGATGAGATACTTTTTAGAATTTTTCTTCGAGACAATTAAAGAAAAATATGGAGAGCCAAGTTATAGTAAATGGACTCAAAAAGATAATTAATCAGTAGAATATCTCATTTAAAAAACTATTTATACTGTCTGTATTGAATTAACAATTATAAATGTATGTTTTAATCAAGCATTTATAAATAAATAAATAAATTATTTTCATGGTATCAATGAATTTACCTTGAAATTAGGGGCATGAATCTTTTGTAGTTTCATCGATTGCTCAGCCATAGTCTTGGCCATTTTATCCGTCAATTTTTTTATATCATCTAAATCTTCTAAATCCTTGAGATGATCAGGTAACGATGAATAATCAACAGTGATTCTATGAATTTATAACACTATGAGAAATAAATCTACTAAAAATAATAAATATATTTTATGTAATGTTGTCAATAATTAACCTTGCTTCCTGATCATAAATTTCTTGTGTGTTAGCTGTGCTGTCTCGTCCTTGTTCTTCAGAATTATTCACTGATTGTTCTTGAATAATATCTTCTAAATTGCCTTGTAATAACGGTATGTTAATGTCCTCCATCTAAATGAATCATTTATATCAATAAAATTACAAAAATGATATAAAATTTAACATAACATTAATTTCTACTATACCCGACAGTGAGTTAGAATTGCATGTCGATCAGCTTTACGCATTTCTACTTTATTCTCTAAGTTAGTAACCTGCTTTTGAGCTGCTTGAATATCTTTGGCAATAGCACCAACTTCTTTTCTTGCCTAAATAGTAAAGACATTTTCTTCTCAACCATCTAATTATAACCCAATATATAATATTTATTTACATACCTTGCTAATCACTTCATCCATTTGATCAACTTCTTGCTTTTTAGTTTGTCGTTGAGCTTTCAGTCGATCCACTTCTTTCATATCCATCTCTATTTCAGACATTTGTTTCTGTTCTGCCTGTTTAGCACGTTCAAGTTCATCTTCATCATCGTGAACTGCTCTTTCCCAACGTGTCACATTGTCTAAATAAACAAATTGTTATGATAAATATTTTGCGATTGTGTGATCAGGGCCCAGGAGTTTTAAACCTACTTTGTGTGTCTTTTGTACGTTCAAAATCTAATTGACTCATAATTCTATTTTTTTGATTTTCAAATTCCAAACGAATTTTGGCTCTTTCTTGCTGTGACCTAAGTTCACGTTCTTCATATTGACGAATATTAGTCATACCGATTTGACGACAAAAATCAGCAAACACATCATCTTCAACTGAATTCATACGACCTCGCATAGATTGAATTTCAATATCACGAGTTCGCATTGTTCTTTCAATTTCTTCAATACGAGGCTAAGACAAAACATTAATTTAATTTTACTTCTATACATAATACCTCAATTCTTGAAATCTAAAAAAAAAATACTTACTCCACTTCCTTCTAATTTGTTTTCTAGGAATTTCAATTCCTTCTCTAAATCTCTTATTTGTTTAAGCTAAATAAAAAAAATTGTACAATTTTTATAACATGAAATATATATAAGATAAAATTGTTTACTAACAGTGTTTTCTTTATCAGTTTTTCCATATTTAAGTCTCATATCTAAACCTTTAATTTGGGAGTCAACAGTATTCAATTCAGACTCTTTACGAGATTTCTTCATGGCATCTCTCAATTCTTCAGATAATTTTTCCTAGAAAAAAATTAATTGAAAACAACACCTATATAAAAAATATAAAAATTTACTTTACTTTAGAAGCCTTCAATTGAGTCATATGTTTTTCATCCCAACGTTTTGCTTTACGAGCTAAATCCAAACTACCTCCAGATATAATACCAGATTTTTGATAAAATGTACCATCTAGAGCTACAGCCTAATTAAAATAAATTAATAAACTTAATTAATATTTTTAAAATTATTTTTATTTTTCAACCTTCTGAAAAGTACATTTGTCTAGAGAAATATTAAACTTAAAATGCCATAAGAAATAATAATCATATGCAATTATTACTTTTTATAGACAATTATAAATAATTTAAATTTGCTTTTTTTATCTTACATCATATCTCCCATCTCTTTCGAGTTCATAAGCCACATGATTGGCATCTTCAGGAGATTCACATACTAGAGCATTGTTGGTTGCAAACAAAACAACTCTATCAATTTCTGGATCAAATTCCAGAACATCATACATAAGCTTGACATTGTGCGGACGACTTATATTTCGTAATCTCTCTTTAAGTGGTTTTGTTTGCAAATAATCAATGGGCAAAAATGTTTCTGGGTCCAGCATATGATCTTTCAAATATTGAATGCACAAACGTGCAGTTTTCTCAGAATCTACAATAATGGCCTCCATGTATTTTCCTAACACCTTTGTAATAGCTACATTGTAACGGTTACTAATAGGGTGACACATATTGATCAAACGGTCATACTAAAAACAATTATTTAAATTAATTAATTAAAATTAAAATATATTACTTTGGATTAAACAAAACACTTACGACTCCTGGATAAGCTTTTTTAAAATTTTCAACTAACTCTTGTTTCTTTTTACGTCTGTTATCATCATGCTTATCAACTTTAGCATCACCTAACTGTTCGGTAACATTATCTAAATCCCTTTGTAGTTTTGACACTTTATCTTTAGATGAACCAACATCTTTACGGAGTTCATCAAATAAACGTCTTTGTTCTTCCAATGCATTTTCACTAGATTTTATATGTTCAGTTAATTTGTCTACTCGCTTTTGAGCCTCTTCTTTTTCATGAGTTTTCTGTTTTATTTTATTTTCAAGTTCTGATCTCAAACGTAACTCATTATCTAATCTATCCTGATCAGCTTTTTGTTCTCTGTTAATTGAGTCTAATTCTTGTAAAAATAATGCTGACTGTTTACGAGCATCAATTTTTAAATTATTGTACTCAGAAACCTAAAAATGAAATACGTAATATGATTATTGATTATTATATCTTATAATTTATATTTAATGAAAAAAAATGCTACTAATAAACCTTAATACAAATTATAAAAATACCTGAGCATCTTCTAACTGTACATCTCTTCCCTGACTATGACTTTCCCCAGCCACTTGTTCTTCATATTCATGACGCCGTTTTTCAACTTCTTTAAGTTCAGCTTCCAATTCATCAATATCCTTTTTGTGAGCATCATTAGCCATCACTACTTCGGCTAATGATTTTTTTGCAGTATTTAATTTTTTACGTATATGTGCCACTCTTTCTTTGGACTTTATGAATGATGGACGTTTTTTGTTAATCTCTACTTCCTAAAAATTAAAAATCAATAATTATGTTACATTTAATTAGAACAATAAGAAGAGTGGTTTGGTATATTACAACTAAAAATGATTTTAATATTTCTCATAAATAATATTAATAGATGTTAGATAAACATTCAAATATAAATAAAATTTAATTTAAAAAAATCATTTTATCACTTTTTCACAATAAATTGTGCTTGATTTTATTAAAAAAAAATCTATTTGAAAATTGTCTATTCACTATAGTTTATAAAGGTAAGTAATAAGTACTAAGTATTAAGTATATGCAAAAATATGCATTATCAGTTAGTTATTAATATAAGTGATTAAAACAACTGAAATTAATAATATATATGAAAATTTTAAAATGCAATCATCAGTCATACATGTAAATTCATTACTCCCATCTCCCAAGCTATGAAAATATGTAAATCAAAATTATGCCTTACAATTTCTCTGATTTCTTGTTCAACTTTAGCTAAATCACGACTAGCCTTGCCTTGCTCTTTTTTTTTTTCCTTGACTACTTCTTCAGCCTTTTCCTTTTTACTTTCTACTTTAGCAACTTCTTTTTTACGGTCTTCTAAATCTTGTTCGTAGTTTTTTATCATGTTCTCATTTTGATACAGACGAAACAACTGATATTCAACTTCTTTTTGTGCCTAAAAGTGTTTATAAAATATAATTATTATAACAAGTACCATCAATTTAATAATTTAATCTTAGACTAATCTAATAAATAATATTCTTATTATTTACTAATTCATCCTTGAGTTTCTGATACTTTTCAGCTTCTTCTTTTTCTAATTTTGCTTCTTTACGCTCTGCAGCAACTCCTCTTTTTTTCAAGTATGTGAAGTTAGTTTCTTCTTCTGCTTTCATCACTTCTGCTTTTAATCTATCATAATCTTCTTTTAGTGCGCCAGAACTAAAACATAAGTAATTTTCTTACTTATAAAACTTATTAAGAATATATTTAAAAATACATAACTTATTATGAGTACTTACCCACTAATTTCTTCAAACAAAGCTGTTCTTTCTTTTGGATTTTTCATAGCAATTGATTCAACTGCACCTTGAAATACCAAGAAATTTTTTGCTTTCACATTCACACCGATCTGTTCTAACTGAGCAAAATATTCTTGATTGGGTACAGACTACAATGACACAAACATTAATTTATATAACCAATTCGAGTATTCAGTATACAAAATATCAAAATCAAAAATATATACATCATCGTTGATTCGATAATCTGATGACGATCCTTGTACAGTTCTAGTAAATCGTTTTTCAGTTCCTTCACCATCCATTTTGAAAACTGCAGTTACACTAGCACTGTACAAAAAAGTAATATTTATATACTAAAATAAACCTTTTTAATAATGAACATCCTCGTAGTTGCCAATTAATCATCTAATCAATAAACAAAACAAGTAGTTTATTATGCAAAAATATTACCTGCGAGAAACGGGTTGTCCAACTGAAGCACCGTGTATGAGATCGCTTAGACGTTTTACTCGGAGACTAGTAGTTTTTTCACCCATAACAAAACTTATAGCGTCCATAAAGTTAGATTTACCTGTAAAACGACAAACAATGGAATCACAGAAAGGTGAAACAATGCATTACATTGTGAAAAAAATAGATTTTTTCTACGTACCAGAACCATTGGGTCCAATGACAGCTGTAAAGTTCTTCAGGGGACCAATCATATGATGACCCCTGTAGGACTTAAAGTTGTCCATTTCTATGCATTTCAGTACTGGTGGCATGATTATGATGGATAATCTGGCAACGATTATTCAAAAATAATAAACGTAAACGCCATATAATAATGACAAAATATATTATATATATAAACGAACGTAATCGCTCACACAAACATTATGTATCAATACCAAATTAAATAATTTAATAAATGTCTATCATGATCAAAAATACTAGGTTATATTATAATTTATAATGGATACAATTTATCACAAAATAAAAATATTAATTAAGTAAAAAAAAAGCCAAGGCACTGGCTATTGAAAACACAAACGAACACAAAAAGATAACACGGGAAATAAACAAACACACAAACATCAATTGGATTTTGATAACGTTCAACGAAAAGAAAAACAAATTTTACCCCCTCTATTCTTTTTTTTAAATTTAAACATGGCGATAACCAATAATATAACTCAGTAAATTCCATGAACCGTATTTGTTAAAATATAATAAGTATTAACTTAATAATTTTAGTATTATAATTATATTATTTTTGGTGTAATAATTATTCGAAAATTTAAACATTACAATTGTTTTGTTCGTTATCGCTTATCACTTATCAATTATCATGATCATTTTAAAGTTTCTTTTTAGTTTTTTTAATTAACCATCAATAGGAGTACTTATAAAATATTAATGTTTTTATTTATTATGTAATTAATATAATAAATTAAAGTTTTTTAACATTTTGTTTCTTTTTTGAGACATTTAAATCCATTTTCAAATTATAAATTACAATAAACATTATATTTAGTTTTTTTATCAAAAGTATTTATTTTCCTTTTTTTTATTGTTAAACTGTAACATGAACTAAGATATACTTATATATCTTAGTTCACGAACTGTAATAATACAACTCGTAATCATAATACAATTACTTATCAGTTCTTTAAAGTTTACAGTGATAATTAAATGTTTAAACAAAATTTGTTTGTTTTTTATTTAAACATTGAAATAGTGCTATATACTTATTTCTGTCTAAATGATAATTCAAAACAATGTTGCATTAATAATTTAAAGTATGATAGTGTATCAGTAGGTATGTGATAAATGCATTCGATTTTTTAATATAAATATCAGGCCCATAAGTTTTAGACTTTAGATAATGTTAACTTTTTCATGACCCTTGAGTCACCATATCCTACGAGTTTGTCATGAATAACATTATGCATTAATAGACTTTAATGAAAATCATCTACAAATATGTCAACTTCCATCACAATTTTTGAAGCATTCGTTTTTTGAAGATTTTTTTCTACTTTATTTAGCATTTGACATAGGTACCGTGCATAACTTTTAAAAATGATCTTTTAGTACTATATCCAATAAGCAATAATCGAGGTCTAAAAAAATTATAATGAGCTGTAAATTATTTTAAATTTTCACCGATATTTATAGTTGCATTTTCAAATATTTTGAATATTTTTGAACTGTTTATCGATATTTAAAATTTTCATTAATTTCTTATTTTTTTTATTTTTTTTTTTTTACAGACGACGATCAAAAAAAAATCACTGGAACAAAAACTTTAAAAACTGAATTAAATAACTTCTTCTTAACATGTTATTATCATTACAAAATATTGAAAATACATAGGTAGGCATAAGTATTTTATGTTCAAATTTTTGCAAAATTTTTAAAAATTATAAATATATGTAAGGTATTTTTTAGTTAAAAATTAATAAAATATTCAATTTGCATAGTTAAAGATTGAAAATTTAATACAAGGTACGTTAGTAGATTATTTAGTAAATTAAAAACTTTAAAGATACATAGGCACAATTATTATTTTTTAAGAGGAATTTAAGTTGCCCTGAATTTGTTAAAATCATGTAAATTTAAATTATTTTGTATTTAAAAATGTATGAAATATTAAATTTGTATCTACAATGCATGAAAATTTAACACATCTAGTATACAGAAGAGTGGTACCTACTTTCCCGCTTTTTAATTTTCATGGGCAAGGGGCGTATAATAATTATAAATTTATAAATACTTACCACACCAAAAAGATCATTGTAATTTGTTTTATATGATCTCTTCAACCATATGCCGTCAGATACAACGATGACACGCGGTATTCCATATTCGGTGACACTATTATCATCTATAACAAGTATGGCGAACGGCCTCTTCTTTGCCAACTTCTTTCATCGCATCGAAAGCTAATTTTTTAGTAATTTAGTATAATTCAAATTCCGTAATCAGTAATTCATTTTGAAGGATTAAATATTAAAATTGGTCAACAGGCAACAACATATCTGTAAGTAACTTAGAATCCTAGACCCGTAAATAAATTTGCTGACACCATTGCTAAATATAAGTATTGACATTGACGAGTTACTAGGATTTTCGTTTGAAATATAATTAATTTTGTTACGAATATTACATTGAAAAACAAATTCAGATATAAAACCATTTTGTATTTCTTTTCTCAATGTTAGATTCTTAAAAGTACAATCAAAAGGTTTGTGTCCTATTTTTTTAATAGTTTCAAATAAATATTCTATGTCAACATAACGTCTATATTTACATTTCCTAAAATAAAATATAAGTATATTAGCCTGTATCATATAATAATTTTAATATATTTATTTTATATATTGCTATTAGTAATAATATATACATAGGTGTATAAAATATAAGTATCTAACAGTGAAAAGTTTTAAGTCCCTACAAACAGTGGCGTATTTAGGATTTATTTGAGGGAAGAGATATGACTGAAATATTTTTTCTCCCTCCACTCGAAATACATAAAATACTATCAATTTATTATAACTACACACATAATATATATTATATCTATACATAGTAGGTACATAAACCTTATAATTATATCATATAACACATTAAATAATGAATCAGTTATTTATTTATCATTTACAAAATTAAAAATTGCTAAAAAAAAGTCAAGGGGGGAGATATATCTCCTTCATTTTCCCCCATAAATACGCTACTACCTACAAATAAAATACATTTTTAAATATAAAAAAAATAGCTAAATATTATTATATTATAATGATTTTTTTAATAAAGTTATTTTTTTAATATCTAATTTCGTTCATATTAAATCAAATGTTGTTAAAAAAAAATGTTGTCTATCTAACTAGTTACTGATAAGGTTTTCTTCTATTAAAAAAAAAAAGTCAGGAAAGTTATTTTATGTTCTGTTGAATTGCAGCTTAAAATTTAATAGGCTATCTGTCTATGACTAATGATTAAACTGCATTTTACGAAAATTTGAATTGACTAATAAACAGTCAAGATTGTTTATCTCAAATGATCAAACATTTTTTGTCAGTCTTAGTAGTGGCTACTAACTAGCTTAAAATATTAAGGAATATATTTCTGTTGTAAATACACATTTTCTATAAACCATAGGTAACTATTATATATTGGTTAGTTAATAATTGGTGTATTAATATTTTATCTTTGTTAAACACAACTAAAATTAAAAATTATTAAAAATAAAAATCTAATTAAAATGTTCACTGTAAAAATGTGTGTTGAATTATTAGTTATTATGAACAGTAGAATATTATAAAGACAATATTTATGTATTATTTTTCTTTTAATTATTGATAAAATTCCTAAATGACAAACTATTATAATTTTAGATCATATTATATTTAAGTAGGTATTAAAAAAAAAAAAATTACAATATTTATGATATTATCATGAAATAATTGTTCGTGTTTTGTTTGTAAAAATACCTTACGAGTTAAAACCATAAGTTATACCAAAATGTCAATAATTTACTCAAATATGTAATCATATGTTACAACAATATAAACTTGGAAAAAACTGCAACGTATTAATTGTAGTAAGTATTGTAGATTTGTAGAAATATTTTTACTCGACCATTTCCTAGTAAAAATTCAAGATATACATTTATTTAACCAAAAAAATGATTTTTATTCCATTAACTAACGTTTTGATTATTTCTATCATTTTAATGATGATGATTTCCTTTCTTAATTCATCTCAAATAAAACCAACATTTTATCGTAAGTATTTGAATAAAACATTGTCTTAGAAAAATATTTAACGTATATATTACACATTTTAATACTAATTAAATATAAATTATATTAATTTATTTACGTTATGTTGTGGTTACTTTACATTTTTAAATTAAATAAAACTTCGTTATCAAAATTTTTCATGAATAATATTAAGAAGTAAAATATATAAATATAAATGATTTTTTTTTCATATACGACCATAACTATAATACATTATGAGATTAGGTACTATATATTAGTATACTTAGATAATATTCTCGAAATTCCCTTAAAAATAATTGCTTAAAAGTTGAAATAAAATAAATTAATCTATGATTTAAATAATAACTCAACTGTTTTATTAACTTTCCAGAACTTGTCGATCATAAAACGGATAAAAGTTATGATATTTATTATTCCAGGTCAAAGAGAAATTGTAAGATCTTTAAAAATAATATAAATTTTTTCTATTTGAATAATAAATAATTTTATCATATCATATTTAATTTTGTTTTCGTTTAAGATAATAGTTTGATATTGTTTAAAATAACCATAATATGTAGAAATGCTTTTACCCTATTTTAACTTAGTATTTTTTATAATCATTTCCATATCAAAGGCTAAATTGAGTATATGTTTATAATATACGATACATAGTTATTAATTTAAAAGTATTTTACGGGTCATTTTTTAACGATACGACATTCAACGATTGAGTATAGATAAGTAAAACAATTTTATTTTAGCGCCTTGGAATACACAACCGACCATCCACAAACATACACCGTAGGTCTACCCTTTTTATGCTATTATTAATCATAATCTATAATTATTGATTAACATATCTTCATCATGTTCTAATGACTAATTTTCACGTGTAAAATGAGACCATCTTAATGTAGTGTTTAACTCCTGTATCAAACTGTGCAGTAAATTATTATTTGACTACAGTTAAATAAATAAAGAACATAATCAAATTTGAATATTATAAGTGGTAGTATGTTTTCAGATGAGATGAAAATGACCGTTTATCAATATTATAACACAATACACAGTAAGTTAACAATCAATTTTTAAAATTATAGCTATAAACTTAATAATTAACTGATATAGTAAAGCCAAAAGTATAAATGCCGAATTTTTTTAGTAATTTCTTCAACTTCAACTACTTTGAGAGTAATTTCTTATGGGTCTAGTTGACACTAATAATTTACTTGTACTTATTATCTTAATAAATAATAAGGAATAACCAGTAAAATTAAATAAATAAATAAATAATAAAAACAATAAGTAGAATATTAACAAAACAAATATTTTTCTTAAAATACATTTTGTTATTATGTTTTAATTCGAAAATAAATAACTATAGATACTTGAAATTTACTTGTACATTTATACAATTTTTTTCAATAATTTTAACATTTTAAAAAAATTTTGACTTTTTGAAATGCTTATTTAATTATTATTATAATTTTTTTTTTGTTATATATATAATGCTATTCTTTTGTTATCATAAGTTGCTATGAAATTAAATTTTAATAAAATTTAATTTCGATTTAATTTAATTTTAATTTTGGGGTGTAATAAACCTCAAAACATTAAAGATGCAATAAACCATCAATATACTAACAAAGGGTTAATATTAAATAGTTTTGGAGATTGAATTGTGTTTGTCATTAGAGAAACAATAATAATAGTTAAAATAATTTATATTGATAATATCACATTCATTTGTTTTTAATTTTTTATGTTTTATTTATAGATATAAATGCCAAGCGTAAGTACTTTTTGATTACAAAATCATATTTTATATGTTAAAAATTATTTCAACATAACAAATATTAAGAGTATAAGAGATAAAGTAACCATGTTACTTATCAGTTTAACAAACAAACAAGAGGGAAGCTTTATTATTTTTTTATTTTTAAAAAAATGTGTAAAAATGTACTTAAATATATGATATAAGTATAACCCCATTACTATGATGAATTATTGTCTCAACTATTGAAAAACTTTAAAATTTCATTATGTTAATGCTATAATAAATTGTTTGTTATATAAGTGTTTAACGTATATTTCTATACAAAAACGTACTTATTAAAGTTTTTATACTTGCATATTGTGAATAATTAAAAACTCTAAAACCAATGGCTTTTGTATATATGCACAAGTGTACGTGCACTACTTACTCAATCGAAGGCCAAGCAGCCAAGCGATTATCCGCGCAAAAATAGTGTATGTATGTTTAGTAATGCGATAGTGCATTTTTTATACCGAGTACAAATTAAAACAAATCAAAACATGCAACACACGTTTAATGGAATTTAAGTGCACATTTATTGTTTTCAGCAAATTTCCTAGCTTATTTATTATAATGTTCGTCAGATATTATCGTAAATTCAAAACAACAATCGTGTTTCTGTTTTTCGGTGTTTTCTATCGACATGGTAATTAAATATTCATCAAATTATTAGTAATTTAATATATTACTCGTATATTTGTTTTTAATTTTTAAAAGAATTCAGCACAGCAAATATTTCAATACAATTTTTTAATAACCTCATTAGAGAATAAGATGGAAATAAAAAATAAATGTTGCCTTAGCATGAGAAGTTTTAAAAGTTGAACTTTTTTCGGCCACTCGGCCTTTAACTTGCACCAAAATTAATTCTACGGGATTGTACTGACAGTGGTAAGGAGGAAGCCTTACTACTTCATGATCCATTAAGAATGTCAGTTTATTTGGTTTTATAATCGTTAATTGGACTTTCGTCTGTAACTCGGTGAGTGTTTCTAACAGAAAAAACTCTATGTTTTTTTCTTGCAAACATTTTTGAAAATCTTCCTTTTGGTTATTTTACTTCGGATAGTATATAAAATAAAACTAGTAATACGATAATCAAATGGTTATTATTATAAAATTATTGTAGTTCTTAAAAAGCCTAACTGCTGTTAGTCTGTATGCAATGAGCCTGAAAAACAACAGGCTGTTTAGGAAAATAATATGTAATTCGCAAACGGGCTACTCCATTGCAAAGATATTAGTCTTTTTATGGATTAATTATCCATATGGCCTACGACATCTATATGTACAATATTATATATAGTGCTTACTACATAGGTACGATACTGCAATCTTCTTGTTAATTAATATTGATTATTAATTAAATCATATAAAATAAAATATTCTTATTTATGACTTATATGTATAAAGAAAAAAATGTATATAATATCTGTCGATGCTTTATTGTATTTAATTTATCTTTGTTATATTATATATTATTATATTAATATTCTATTTTATTCAGGAATTCCTTCGCTAAATGTCAAATCATTTGACATTTATGAAAAAGAATTAGTTGATTACTGTAAGTAAATTATTTTAATGCAGTTCTAACAAAATTATTGATAGTTTTTGAATATTTTATGTAAAACATAATTATAAATCGTTCTTTTGAACTGTAATAATCATACAATAAAAACTAATTATTAAAAGAAATAAAGCCATCCCATTGGAAAAATAATTTTTGGCTGATTGTTTAAAATGTTTAACATTTCTTTAAATTTTTTAAGTTCATTTTTCTTTGTTTATTTTAAAGATATAAAAGTAGTTTTATTAGTTATTTATATATAATTGAAAAATATCCAACTAGATTCGATCCAAAAAAATAGTTATAGTATTTTCAAAATATTTGAATGTTCCTCATATCTAAAAAGTATTAAACTAATAAGAGATTCGTTATTAGACGTACGTATTTTAAATCCTTAAAGTACAAATAAAAACATATAATTATATAAAAGTTTATAATAGATCAAATCAATGTACTTGAGCTCCATTAATTGGTTTTAAAAATTAACTAAAAAAACTTAGAAAATAATAAATATTCACCATTTTTACTCATATATTTATAAAACTAATTTAAAAATACCTTCCTATATATTATTATAATATAAGATAAACTATAAAAGAAGTTAGACAATCTATTTTGAAAAGCACTTGTATTGTATTTAACAATAATGCGCCTTTCTTCCGAAGGTAATAGCATTCGTTAACTAATATTTAATATATATACACAGATATAAATCTGAAGACAACTCCAGTACACTTACATAACCCTTTAAAATTCCAAGTACGAAATAGCAAGGCTATATCATGAGAAAACTCCATGTCCAGCATTAATAATCAAACTAATTTATTCAACATTTGAATAATATAATTAAATTAATTGAAGGGCCTATTCGAAATAACTAAAATTCAATAGGTTAAGTAATATTCGAAAACCTTTGATCCGGAAGTCAATATTATTCCATAAAAAGTAAATAATCTAAAACCATCTTCTAGTCACGAATAACACAACATATGTGAATCAATATTTTACTCAGAATATTTAGGTATGGATACATAAAAACTTAAATTTCTATACTGACGAAAATAATATCCAATAAAATTAAAAAGTAGCTCTAACAATGTTTAAACAACTTATTAACAAATTTATTAGACATATTTCATATGTGTCTATGTTCCTATATGGTCGTGCTGCGAAATTAAAAATGATGAATCGAGGTTGAAGAATACTTTAATTGGACGCATTATTAATACCTAACCTCAATTTTATGAAAGAAAGTGGTTAAATCAATAATATTTGAGAGTTAGTTACTTAGCCAATTCTGAAAAATGTGTTAAATGTAAATTTATATCTAATTATTTTGAATAATATAAATTAATGTTTAATTATTATTTAACGAATCGACAAAATAAATAATTTTTAATTTAGGTTCAGAAAATTATAATTATCCGGAGCTTGAAAGTAAATACTTAATTTTGTTAATTAAAATTATAATTATAGTTCTTACGAATTGTGTAAATAATAATTCAAAGATTTCAATGAAGATTTTGTTAAAAATAATTTAGATAATATTAACTTAAATATTATTTGTCCCCATTATTTCTATTTTATCAAACTTAGATAAATCACTAGCTTTAGATCAAAATTCTATTACGGCTCAATCTACAACGAAAATTCAAATTTGAATATTACCAAAATCCTTGATTTCGTTTATAATGTTGGAATAAGATGCTCAATTTGAGCTTAAAGTAGCCCTATTACCGTTTCTTATTCATTGCTGGGTAACAATAACTTTATGCTATATTAGAACCTATCAGTTATCGGCTATCGCTATACATATAATTCAAAGTTTATCAACATCAGATAATTCAACTATTCTTTATGTAAATAATAGGCAATTTTTACCTATAAATGAGTTGAACATTAAATTCAGAAAACAATTAAGTTTAAAACTACTAAAAGAAATATCAGACGATATTTTCCCCTTAATTTGACCTTAAAAATAAACACTTAAACTAGTACATAGAAATTGATTTAAAGAAGTAATACGTACTGTCAATCTTACTACCCAAATCTAGACAGATACTTCCCTAGTCTAAACTGGCATAAGGCTTGTAGACTGTACTTGTACATTGAAATCAACTCAACTACGAATATTTCAATTGAATATTTATAACAGCTTTTACACAACTTATTACGTACTTAGCTCCAAATTTAGCGTCCTAACAAACCTCACTTATCTTGATCTCGACTATTGGAAAATTCTAGCACGCACGCGGAGATAAATTATTGTTTAAGAAGTCAATCTGAGCAACTTTTTATTGTCCACATTTATCCTAGCAATAATAGATTTATAAGGGAGAAGTTACTTGATAATGTAACGAGTAACGAATTAACCAAGACTTGTTAATAAATTTGTATTTACATTTATATGTATTTTTTAAAGTTAGAACAATACACAAAAATAACAACACATAATTATAGTTTACAAAAAAAAAAAAACGTTTTAATAGGACTAATTTACGTAACTAATAATAATAACTTAAATTCTTATTTTAGCTAAAAATTATTATTCAACGTTTTTTAAGAATCTATTTACTAATTTATTCAAATGTTTAGGTAAGTGATCATAAACATTAAATTTTTGTATAAACATTTTTTTTTTTACAACTTTAAAGTATATTAAGTTAAAAATGTTTAAATATACATTTATTTATTCATTTCTGGAGAAAAAACTCGATTTAAAAAAATTTACTATAAATATAATAACAGTTGTTGGAAAAATATAAATAAATAAATATGTAAACAGTAAAATAATTGTGTTTAGCAACATATTTAAAAAAATTTAAATCTGTTTAAGTATATTTGTCTCATTAAGATTAGAAAATTATGAAACGAACATAGTGATGTTTTGAGATTGTAATATCTGTGATTTTAATGAAGGGTTGAAATAGTTGAATAATTTGATTATTTAAACTTATTGGATTTTTAATATTATTATTATTATTATTACTATTAATATAATTCTAATAAAGCAATGTACACCAATCAGGGTATCACTATTATTGTTATTAATATTAAATATTTACCTTAATTATTAATAGAAGCGCTAAATTCCACAAACACCAACAATTATATACCCTCAGCCAACAAAACGAAATCAACTCCTGATGTAGATATTCACAAGCTAAAATTATCGCTGTACAATTTTATTTAACTGCATGCATAAAATGGTAATCGCAATAGTTATTTAGCCAACTAATAGTTTTGAGCATTTTTTTTTTTTATATATATATTGCTTCTTGAATATCGTAAAATATTTGTTCAAATTTTATGAAATAATTTATGAATATTTATCTTTAATAACTTGAGTTGTTTGTTTAATAATAAGATACTTATAACGAGTAGATGTTAATACTTAATGATGCTTATGATAGTAATCGAACTGTACTGTAAATATACGGAATTTCCTTACTTGATTTTTCTGATTACAATTTTCATACTTCATTTATATTTTCAATAACAATTTGTACCACAGTGAAATTCAAAACTTACTATAGTTTTAACTAATAAAATTTTCTTTTTTAAGTTGTACATAAATTGTTTCTGTTATAAGTTAATTGTTGAACATTCGAAGCAGATAATATAACTATTGTATTATTGTAACAGTACATTAGCTATTCTATTTACCCAAATTTAGTAACGAACTGAAAAAAAATTGTAATTTCACTAAAGTATTTGATATAATACAAATTAGTAAGTATATAAAAGTACATTAGTATGGTGCTTAATGTTTCTGAGGACCAGTGGTTATTGTACTTCTACAAATGCTGTGTTTCGCACTATTCTTCATGATGTCCTCAATTCTCGTTACTTTTCTCCTGGACCAGAAATCCTATAATTTGAACACAGTATCATTGTTGAGTTTTTTTGTAAAGTTGTTATTATCATTGAAATGTAATCATCGGATCATGAAAAAGCCATTATAATTAAATATAGCTCACTATAATACATATATGTTGGATGGATTGAACTCGGTTAGTACTTTTAAACACTTAACAAGTCATAGTATAATGATCAATTATTGTTTATGATCAGTGCTCGAAATGGAAAATTTTCTGAACCGGAACGCTTTTTTTTGGAATAGGTACATACCATAGAATTGGGGGCTTAGGTATTTTTTTTACGAACCGGAACGCTAAAAATTTTTTTGTCGTGAACCGGAACTGCGTTCCGGTGCGTTCCGGTCCATTTCGAGCACTGTTTATGATATAATATTTGGCAAAAAAAAATGGTATTCACAAACAAGAATTTACTATAAAATATATGGTTATAAATTCTGAGAATCATGAGCCTAATACAATACTGATTATTGAAACTGGAATTGAAATCGGTAAAAATAATATCGTTATTTTAAACTAAAATTTAAATAGAAAAAATAATAACCAATAATTAAAACCGAAATCAAAAATATATATTTTCAGTTTCAAACCCTGCAAAAAATCATTAAGTATTAAAGTGAATATATTTTTACAGGGAGTGTACAGGAAATTCTTAGTGAGTAAATCTTTCAATTTGAATAAATTTTTTTTTAACAAAGCTTAAAATACAAAAATATTTCAAAATGTGTCCATAAGCACAACTTTTTCTTATTTTGAAATCTTAATTGCTTATAAAATATTTATTTACTAAAATATAGTAAAAAAATATGCCATATTTTAATAATGTACACAGTAAATACATTTTTAATTAATTTTATACAAAACGATTATATCTAAGTAATTGATCATTACGAAATTCAATATCTATACCTAAATAAATCGATATAATTAAGAATAATCAATGATATTTTTTCTAAAAAATGTTATTTTAATTAACGCGCGGAACTAGGAATTGTATCAAACAATTAATAATTTTTTGAGCGTCATCTTAATAATGTTCGACAATATCTTAAAATAATTTAACAAAGTTAGGTTATTTATACTTATTTGGCATGTTTAACGTTCTTATATATTTCGTAACTTTTAAAATCGACAAAAATTTTTGAAAAATTGTTTTAATGACCTAACAATTTACATAAATAATTTGTCTCAGGCCTCGGGCTAGCACTTACAGAATTAAACGTAGAAATATTTTATTCTGATAAATTCAAGGGTAAAATTAAGAACGAAACATTTTTTTTTTTATAAAATATGTGTTTTGAATTATCTAAATAAAGTAAAAGTAGCATAAACAGATTTATATGTGATCATTTTCAATTTTTTCCGGAAATAAAAAATATTAAATCAATTAACCAAAAGAAAAATGTATTGAAATATAAATTCATAAAAGTATAAAGTGAATATTTTTACAGATAATTTACCGTCAGGTAAGTTAATTATTCAATTTCTTGAATATTTTTTTTTTAATCTAAAAATACGAAAATACCTAAATATAAAAGTTTAAAAAAACACAAGTTAATGATAAATTTACTATAAATTAATATAAAATATTCATAATCGTTTTAAATTAATATATTTTATAACTACTATGTTAATTTATATACGTTTGAAGTAATTTTATTATGCACAATGTTATGAACATAGTACCACCTAACAAAAATAATGAATCAATTTCCCCAAATGAAAATTTATTTTGATAATTTATGCACGAAAAATCGTAATATGTGTGTTACTTTTAGTTGTTATTAAAAGTGTTACAGATTTTTTTTTAATACAACCATCAACTCATTAAAAGATTTAGAAGCAACGAACTTTTGTCTTTGTCTAATAGACGTGTTCTTTTCCAACGTACTGAATACTTTTTGATAATACGACTATAATGCAGTGATAAGAATTTTGAAAATAGATTTAAATTTTTTATCAAGTCTACTTGAGTTCAACTTTCCCATATTTTTGATTTTTTGATTTTAACTTCTCTAAAAATCAAACTTTGTCAATTTTTTTAATTACCTTTTTTTTTTAAATATAACTTTTTTTAAATTTCGGGACATGTAATTAAAAAAGTAGGAAAATCAATCTTAAGTAGACTTAGCAGCAAATTCAAATCTATTTTCAAAATTCTTATCACTTCATTAGGTATATTGGAACAAGAACACGTCTATAATCCTATGTATTGGATAAAGACAGAAAATCACCGCTTCCAATTACCTTACCAATGATCCCATTGATCCACCTGCACAACAAAATACTTTGTTTGAATTATCTTCACATAGGTCACAAAAAGCTTTATCGCCTTGGCGTTTGTCGTATTGCCATATTCAACTTTTAGAACGATAACGCATTTTTCAAAGAAAAAATATTTAATATGTATAACACAAATATTAATACTACATTACTACACTATACGTACCAAAAGTGAACACAGATACAATAAGGCATGGGACAACTTTAAAATCACCAAAAATGTTTAGATAGTTAGATAAAACTATACAAGTCATACGAGTACATACATAAACGCAATGCAATAAAATTGGCGATAAGATAGCTTTGTGATTGTTTATGCTTTAATCTTAAAACCAGTTTAAATACTATTATACTTATAGTTCATGTTTATTGTTTATACCTATATACAATTATACGATAAACAGCTGAATCTTACTATATTTTAAGCATAACTTATAACTATTCATAACATTTTTAAATAATAATAGGTGAGTAAGTAATTAAGGGCTATGCAATTTTTATTATTAAAATAAATAACTAATTATTAGAATATACAGAACATTATATTATTATAAATAAAAATATTTAAAGTATATATGAATTCTAAATTGATATGCAATATTTACACGGGTATTAAACACGGATATACACGGCCACACGGGCATTAATATATTTTTTGCCCGCGTGCCCGGACTCCGTATACTCGTGTATTCTAATACCCTAGACCTCTAATTTATATGTAAACGCATATTTCAGTTCCAGCTTCTCTAGTTTCAATAAAAAAAGCTTTGAGTAAGACGTAATCCAACCTTCCATATCGTATAAGACAAATTTAATTAGGAATTAAACAAATTACTATCCTGTGTATACTTCGGCCATCGATAGAACGCTACTGCGCGGCGTTCAGAACTCGTTCATTCTCACCTCTCACGTAATCCTACTACAGAACCTGCCTAAACGCTGACCGCTATCGCCGATACAGGTCACCGTGTAATGAGTTAAATAAACTTATGGTGTTGAGTAAAATGGGAGAAATTTGGGAACGAAACCGCGGAGCTCGTTCATTTAACATATTTAGGATGCGCCAAAGAGAAGTGTTTTCTTAATAGCCGGAGTATAGTGAAGACATTTAAAACAATTTATTTTATTGAGTTTAATAAATTATATTTTATTTGATAACACTAAATTAACCAAAATTATTTTTATAATTTTAATGTTTAGATATGATATTGTATAATATTATAACTGGACTCTCTTGTATTATTAAACTCAAAGTCATCATTTCCCAATGGCTGTATAATAAATGATTATTTTAAGTTACGTATGTTTTATTTTAGATAATCAATGTGACGGAGTACCCAAGAAACCTAGTACAACAAAAGGTTCGTTCTTTGTAATTATAAACCAATTTAATAAATTTTTAAATCATAAAATATCCATCTTGATTCAAAATAATCAAATGTTGTTATAACTTTAAAGAGTTTACAGTTAATTGTATCAAATAATTAATGGCTTAACATTTGTAATAATAGTAATAAAATCATGGTTTATGTCTAAGAGGAGTAAGTAATAATTGTTGTCTGTCTATACGTATTTAATATGGGAAATATTTATAATCTTATTATTATATTTTAATCTTTCGATATCAAACAAATTTTAATTGTACACTTTGATTCAAAATAATTACATACCTAATAAATATGATATGTTTGGTTAAATGAAATAATTGATAAATTAAAAAAGAAGAGTAATTTTGTGACCATGGCTGTTTTACACTTTTACTAGATGTTGTTGAATAATTAATACAGTTATTCGAAACAGTGTCGCGGTAAAAATATCGCAGCAAAAATGTCGCCAAAACAAAAATGTCACTGGTAGTAATAATATATCGCCGTTGTCACCGACATGGCTCGCAGTTTCAATTTTCATTAGATCATTAGTAAGATTAGATTAGATTAAAGTACTATAATTAGTAATAATATAATACATAAAACTCTGTGAACACATTACTAACTAATATTTAGTTCAATGTTGAGTTCTTGTTATACTTCTATCTGGATTTTTATCGATTTACTAAAAAAAGAAAAAAAGCTTAAATCGTCTATAAGTTGAACAGTATATTGCTGACATTAAACCTCCGACAAAGAAAAAATACAAAAATTCTGCAATTCGATTTAGAGCCATAGGTATGTGGGGATGATGAAAATGGATCAATCAACGACCACCTGCGTGGAATTTTATATAATTTTCAACATCAAATAATATTATCAATTAATAATAAATTAAACCCGTTTAGCTTTTAATCGTGGAACTACGTCGGACCGAGGTGTGCAGTCACGACGCTCTTATAACCAACCTAATCGGGCTGCCTCCCGTCCGCAAAGGCGAACGTGTTCATTATACACTTGTCATTACTCATTTGTGCGACTTTGCGTTGCTGTGTACCATTTTTATTATTATATATAAATATAAATTATTTAACGCGTTGTTCGTCTCTCATCGTTTGAACGGATTATTTTACGTGAGCTGGTCGCTAGAATTATCAATCTCCGTAGTTAGTTTTCTCATCAAATTTGGCCACTTTTGCCATTTCAAACACACGCCGGGTACCAATATATGTATATTTTATTTTCTTAGTATTTACTGATCAAATATTAAAATATCAGAATTAATAACAGTTTAATACTACTTATTTATCAGTTAATTAATTTTGAAATTAATTTTGGTTTCGTTATTTTATATTTTAGCCTTAACCCACGAACAAGTTATTGAAAAAATAGGTTCGTGAATTATTATTATTTAATCAGTAAACAATACGTATAATGTATATAGTATAATTAATTATTAACATTATTCAATATAAAATAAAAGTAAATCAAAAATATAATTCAATTATTGTAACGACTCATGCAAATATTGAAAACCACTACCGACTGTTTGGTGAATAGGAAAGTAGCTTCAAATTATAATAAGTATTTTAAGTACAGATTATTTATATAATTTAAAAATTCTAAAACATTAAATCCAAATAATTAATTTAAAACTGACCAGCATGAACGTGCTTACTTTATTTTTATAGTAAATCATGTCTAATTATGGTCTAATTATATTTCAGAAATCTCTATATTTTATCCTCTTCTCCAATTTTCCTAGATTTCCCAATTAGTCAAATGACAAACTATGCAAATCATCATGTTCCCAAGTTATGTTTTGAATATATAATTTGCGGGTCACCTGCTCAGGCACCGTATCATCCACGCAATTATTTGTAGTTGTGTTGAAAATAATGCTACTACGTCACTGTTCGTTTAATATATAATATTAATATGTTAATTGAATCGACTTTCTGTGTGAATAAACAATTAGGTCTTGATTTAGATATAATGTTACAAACTGATTATCTAAAGGCAAATTGTCAATCGACCTTAAAATGTATATAAATGTGTTTGTAGGTACAGGAGTATGATGCACTTTCATTCTATTATTATAAGCTTACTTCGTGATTTAAGTTATATTAAAATAATATGATAAACATTATTAGAGCACGTAGCATTAATTTAGAGAACAAACATTTAATGAATAAGCAACTTTATATGAAAAAGGATGCTATACTCTGTTTACCGAGAGAACAGGATCACCCGACTGACGGAAATATGGATGCTTCATCAAAAATCCTATTTCTCATCTCCGCCGACTAAAAATATTTCATATACGTAGTAAGTTCAAATAAGCTGTCATCTGTATCGGCAGTTATAACACGCTACGTATCATATCATTGATAATTATTTAATAATAATCTATTATAGTTCAAAACATTTTAGTTAATTAACCAATTGATAAATATATATAAAATATATGAATACACGAATAATAACAATAATAATAACTAGTATTTCTTGAACAGACATTTTGAAAAATAACAAAAAAAATATTCTCACAAATACTATAAAAAAAAAAAAAAAAAAAAAATGATAAAATGTAAATTATTGTACATCGATCACTGCTAGAGATTAGTAATGCTATGCGGAATATGATTGAACACTACATAATATGATAGATCTCAATCGTTACAATAAAACGCGACACTTTATAACTTGCCATCAATTTAAAGTTTAAAGTAACAGGTGATAAGTAAGCAGACTATATAGCCGTCAAGTGTTGTAATGGGGAAGAACGACGAGTTTTCGTTTGTCGCGCAGTTTTGATCTCTCGGCGAACAGGGTATATACTATTATATCCTACGACTCGTATAAGTAATATTAATAAATAATGTACAGCAAGTATGTATCATAGGTTAGGTTTATCATAGTATTACATTATGTATGTATCATAATTAAACAATACATGCCATTTTTAGACTACTAAGAAACTGATATAAATATAATTTTAACAGATGAAGTATTAAAAAAAAATGAATTAATTATGTTTTATAAGTGTATACGTAAGTGTTTTAAAATATATAAATATGGTGTGGTCAGGTTAAGATGTGGGTACCATTTTTTTTTTTTTTTTTATACAGGTTCAAGAAGTATACTTTTGTTAAATGTTTTTTGTATAAAAAGTTTTTTCAAATTACAAAATTGGCTAATGAAATGCTGAAATTTTATATTTACGAATTTCTGACGAAAAAACGATATTGGCCCTTCACTTAGATCCTATCACGGCCTCCAATCAACTGCAACACCACTTAGACCTCTTAGAAATATGGTACAAAGACTGAGGAATAAAATTTAACCAATCAAAATCTCAACACTGCACTTTTACATTAAGACAATGAATCCCCTCCTATATACCTGAACTACCCAAAATGTTCATTATCTTGAATTATACCTCGACCGTTTGACTAACCTGAGCAGCTCACATCAGCAACAAACGAACCTCCCTAAATAACAGATCCTGACTACTCAGATCTCTTTTCACTTCAAAACACCTCAAATTAAACAAAAAAATTCTATTTAAACTCATTTGAACATACGGGATCCAACTATGGGGATCAGCCAAATCCTCCAGTCTAAACCGTATACAAATATTTCAATCTAAATGTCTTCGTCAAATCACTTAAGCTCTTTACTATGTAACTAACCACACATTCCATCAAGATCTTTTCGATCCCTCGCATCCAAAAATCACCATAACTTCGTATAAAAGATTTCATTCCCGTTTGCAAAACCACCCAAACCCCTTCGTCACCGACCAATTAAATCTTACCATCTCTGGTGATCCCGGTAGACGATTAAAGCGTAACTGGTGCCGTGACCTATTAGATAACTAAAATCAACTAAATACGACGACGAGGTACCACCAATGAGTAACCTCTTCACTTCAGACATCTTTAACAACCACAATAAAAAAAAAAACAAAAAACTTACATCTCTTATGCATATTGTAAACTGTTTTATAGATTGTGTATTACAAATATTTACAAATAATCTGTTTTTTTTTTTACGAAATTTTAACTCTGCTTAACTTGTATTTGTAAATATCCGTTATTGTTAAATAACTGTTTGTAAATAGATAGACAAATAATCACTATTTATTTTCATGATTTGGGTGAAAACCAAACAAACTCTACCAAATTAATAGAATTTTTAAAACGTTTGGAACATTGAGGTGGAAAATTTTAAAAATTTATTAGGTATAGTTAAAATTAATGACTGCAAATCAACACATTTTAATTTTAAATTTCTAGAGTGTACATTTTCATTAATCATTAAATCATTTCGATTTTAGAGTATAAGTTAAACATGGTTATAATTTCGTCAAAAATAGATTATTCGTAAATATAAAATTTTATCGTTATATTTAATTTACCAATTCATAATTTTTAATATAATTTGAAAAAACATTTTATTCAAAAAACGTTTAAATAAAATATTTAGCTCAAATCTGTAGAAAAAAAAATGATGTGATTTAAAATTAAAATAGTTTGTATTTCAAGGCTGTAAGGGTTAATAATAGTATTGCTCTACTGCTGTGTTTATTATTCTGAAATAATGAACATGGTTAATTAAACATATTATAAAATAAAATATTCGTTAGCTCTTTGCTTATAAAAATTTTATGAATTATAAATTATATTAACAAAAGCGCGTGTAATCTAATATAATAATATGTCATATTTTATTATTTCTAGTGGTATTAAAAAAAGGAGTGGCTGAATTAAATGAAAAAAATGGTAAACTTAAATTTACTATTAATAAATCAATGTTTCGTAAATTTATAATAGAATAGAATAGAATAGACTTCATTTACTTAAAAAAAATTGCTATTAATAAAACCGTGTTTTTTTTAATAGAATTTTTAAATATAGACTAAAACATTGATTCTTAACCTTTTTGCAGTCACAGACCACCCAATGATTTATTAATTAGAACTATAATTTCCAAACTCTTTTTAAAAATTACACTTTCCGATACAATATGAACTGGTAGATTCGTTTTTATATAATTGGAAGGATTGAAAAAGGGAATGAGTTGCAAGCGTTACGGTAAAAAATTTACCATACTCATCTAGTGGTATTGTTTTAAAGACTCTCTGATCAAAAAATAAATTAAATCTTTTAAATTTGCAAAATCTAATAATTATAAAGAGGATATCACTGTGTTTTCTTCGTCTTACATACATACAACTCATACAAGTATATAACAAAAAATTTGCGTTCAGTAGAATTCATTACGTGTTAGCTTTAATATAATAGTAAAATTTACCTATTTTCAAACATAATTTAATTATATGATGTAGCTAGGCATCCCATAGACTTTCATTAATATTATAATATTTAAGTAATTTTAAGCATTTTAAAATTATAATATTTTAAACATTTATAATTCACTTTAAAAATTTAAAATGATAATATCAATTAAAGCCTATGCGATTCTTCAGATTATATTCTCACCTATAAGCTTAATAATATGTAAATTTTACTCTGAATATTATACCTAACAACATAAAATGGATTCTGCTGAACGCAAATTTACCATGTTGAATGTATATAAAACAGTGAAAAAACATGCGAGTATTACGTCCTCTTTATAATCATTGCATTTTAACAAATTTAAAACATTTTATTTTTTATGTTTTTTTTAATCGGATGGTTAAGAATACATTATTATTAAAAACATTATATACTTATTAATACAACATTTATTATATACAATTTAATATAATATAAAATATTATAATTCTGAGTTCCTACTATGGTCTATGATTACAATAATAATTTTCGCTATTTATAAAATAAAAATATTAGTCCCATAAATGGTAAAAATCTAAAAATATCTCAATAGAAAGTTATTACTGAAGAATTCCTTTGAATTTCACTTATGTGTTTGATGTGTTTTTATCAACTTTTATGAGAACTAATGTAAAATTTCTAAATATTGTCATTTGTATTTTGTTTTATCAATACATTAGCAATGTTATTATGGAAAATATAACCAATATTGTCCACATATTTGACTAACAACCAAAGATTTTTTCCCCTTTGTCTGGCTTACTTATAATCTGAAAGTCTTTCCCAGTAATAAATGACATCCAGACTAACGTACCAACAATAATTATTTATAGATTTATAGTCGTTTATTAATATTTTATAGTATTATTTAATTTAGGTACATATAATTGTATGCATTAAGTGAAGCACATCATATTATATATTTTTAGGAATAAAAAAACAAGAGCAATTACCAACAAGTAAGTATTTAATCCAAAAGTACGACGATCGTGACGAAAAGAGAACGATCGTCGGCGGTCGGCACTCGTCCGGCGTGACTTATCATCTTTCCGTCACAACTTAGCCTTTATGGAGTTGGTGGAGGAGTTGACGATATCGCGTCTTTACCCTTGGAGGTGGTTGTAACAGTGCAGTTCGGTCGCTGCGGTGCCTATACTTCGTACTGGCGATCGTTGCGTACTGTGTCAACTTAATATAAAAAACTACAAGTTTCGATTTTTGATAATATTAAAATAATTTTAAAATAACCATATCGTCCATATAATAAACAATAAAGAAATCAATGATAACTAAGAAAAAAAATGGTTTTCTTTTATTAGGTGCAGATATAGAAAATAGTAGTAAATTCAATACTAAAATTAAAAGTAAGTTAATTAATTATACTACTAAAAATAGACGGGGTGGTAGGTGCGTGAGCACCGGTAAAAACAATATGGTTACCACTTCATCGTGTATGATCAATTCAACTGGATCATAACCGTTAATTGATTAGTACACTGAAAGAGTACTCGTTTTCTGTACCAGCTAAATTTCAACTATATACTACATTTAAAACAGAAAAAGAGGCTCAGAGATAAAAAAAAATACATTATTTACAATTGTTTAAATTTATGTAATGAAAAAATTGGTAGATTGATTCAGTGTTTTCTTCGCAGAGTGTTAGTTGAATAGAAATTGAGTTTGTGAAAATTATTTGTGCTTCGGTGTATTTTGGGTATTTGGTAACGATATAATTGATGAAGCGTATTCTTTGTATGTATCGCATATAGGGGCAGAATCTTTGAAGATAAGGAAAGAGTGGATTAAATTCGTGTGGCTTATTCTGTTTAACTGACAGCAGAACCAGATCTGTGTGAACAATGCTATGGTGCCATCGTTTATTAATACATAAAAGTGCTGCAAAAATTTAATACATATAGTATACATATTAAAAATAACATACCTATCGACATCGAGCGATTACAGGCTGTGTTGCATCACATTTGAAAATAAAAAATGATAAAATTAAGAATAATATAAGAATAGTCCACTAGTCTATTCCTGGTCCAATATCGTGTATCCGAATCCGCTGGTCTGTGTTCTCATTCTACTAGATACTATTCGTGTCCTATTGATTGACTCTTACTGAAGCCTCTGCTATTCTTTTGTCATATTATTTGTAGCGAAATATGTTATCAACCATGTCGTAGAAAGGCTGAGTGGCCTAAGACGTGTTATACTACTACTCTAAAATAATCACAAGTGGTTTACCTTCACCAAAGCTTTTATAATTTTAGCCTCTCAAAGTAATTTTATTTTTTTTAATAAATAAAATTATTCAAAATAATCAAATTAACTAAACATGTCCACAATACTTATTTTTTCAGAAAAAATACTAGACTTTGATAAAATAGACCTCTTAAGAAGTTTTACAGATAATGATAATAACAGTGAGTAATTCTAATAACATTTTGAGTAAAATATTTGATTCATGAACATTTTTTTAAATCACTATTGAATTTAAAACCTCTTGTAATAAAATAAAAATCTCATTAAAAAAAAAAAAATAAATAATTTTAGATCGTTAATAAAGAAAAGAAATAATGACTTCTTCTTTTTATTTTTTTTTAATATCGTTAATCTTGAGTGTTATTAATAGATTATTTCTCAAATGAAAGCTTTCTGTAAATATATACTTATTATTATCATAACATTTTCAATAATTAGATATGCATGTATTCATTCCTTTACCACACATACTAGTAAGTTATAATGTGCCGCGGGTATAGATTAAATACTGAAAATCTGAAAATGAAGAAAAAAATTTAATTTGTATTCAAGTAATGCAAAAAGTCAAAAAGTAAAGTAGAGAAATATCCTTCTTGGAGAATATCAATAATATCTAAAATAAAACCATTGACAACAATAATATATTTATGATAACGAAAATATGACTAAAACCACAATAACATTGATTTACTAAAGTAATAATTTAACTCAACTCCTATTAGCAAAGTATGATGAACTCAATTTAACACTTCGATAAAATCCGTGTGTATATTAAAGTTATCAACTAATATATGAATTTTTAAAGCATTAAATCATAATTTTAAAAAAACAAGGTTACAAGTGTTTGTTGAATGGTTAAGACGAAAACAACACTGTTCATTAATTGACATTGAATATAATGGATAAATGAAATGAAAGATTAATAAATTCAAAAATGTATTTATGAAAAGCTCAATATTGAAATTGATTGCTAGATTATAGCAACATTAAAACATTTAAAACTATTCTCAGATTTAGAAATATGTTTAATAGCGCTGAGTTGTAATATTTCAGGATTTATACCTTCGGAAATATAAGCCCTAACGTAACGCTAAACAAAATATAATATATAAAAATTCTCCTAAAATCATCTATCTAGTCATCTTCATGGCTTATCGCCATAGAATTTAGATTTAGATAGACCAGATTCATATTAACTAATGAAAATTATCAAATAAAAAATCGATTATAAATTATAAGATAAGAGAGGTGTTACGGAATAGATAAACAATATTATTATTGTTTTCAGAAGAAAACATGACTATTATCAACGATTTTATCGACGATTGGTTCAAAGGTAAATATCAACCATACATATATACAGAATTATTTTATTTAACTGTATTCGATTTTATTACACAATATATTATTTGAAAAAACAATTAATGATTTATGAAAATGGTTTTTGTTTGTTTTTATACTCAGTTTTTATTAGTAAATACTTTCATTTACTGATTTACATTTAGTTTACATTAACTTAACGTAAATGTTTATACAACAAACTTGTAATTCAGTTTAAATTATTATTACCAAAGTATTATTGGCTATTTTGATATTATAAGTGTTAAAGTTAACATTATCATCTTAGCCATTGGACATTTTTTCATATGGGAATATCTAGTAGAAATTTCACTTGGAGTTGCGAATGAAAATTTTTCTCAATTATACTTTCTAAGATTTTATATAACTGGGTAGGTCGGTTAGGAATAACGCGTTATTTTGATAAAATAGTTAATTTTTTTTAATTTTTTTAGGGGCTTAAATTATGTTAATAAGAATTTAATAATTACTGACGAATGATGATTCATTTTCCAAACTAACACATAAACGGCGAACGAATTCGAAAACCTTTGTAAATCAAAACGAATTGATTTATACCACTGTTAATTTTCTTCTATTTTCGCAAGATGAAGAAATATATCTCAATTGCATATACACACCTCGCAAGTCTAAAGTCTTTAACGGTACTAAACTACTATTTATCAGGGCCAAATTCAGACTAACTATTAACAAGATTAATAAACAATCTAGTGTAGTAATCACCAGTTTAAAAAATTAGTTATTTCGGTAAATTTAGACCTCACTTACTATTTTTCAAATTTTAAATATTTCAAAAATATGAACTAGCAAATTATGTAAATTAGTTTTAAAACTCTTGATTATTATTTACTATTGTTTTGGATAGTGTTTAGATTCGATATGATCAATATGTAATGTGCACGATAAAGATTTTTTTATAAAAAAAAAATTATAAAGTATACCATTTAATTTATAATAATAATATCAACAATATGTATGATACAAAATTTCATTATAGTAATTTTAACAAATGTAAAAGGACATTAATTCACTTTAAGCCATCGTACTAATCTATTTTTCAATAGTTATGCAAAAATTAGGTAGTTAAAAATTATTTCTATACCTATTTATTTTAGTCAATTTCAAAATTAATTTAAAATATTTATACATAATAAATAAATGAAAAATTTTGATTTTAGAAAATAAAATCATTGATGAACCTAAAAATGATCATGAAAGTACATGTATAAGTAAGCAATTATATTAATTATTCTCTGAAACACAAAGAGCTCAAATGAATAATATACTCATAAAATTTTATATTTTGACATTATTACTTATTAAAAGCATCGCGTAATTATAATTTTAAACAATAATTTGTAGTACTTCTTCAAAAACGTTTTAGTATTTTCTTATAAAATGAATTATTTATTAAATTCAAAAACATTTTTTTAGTTTAGGTATATTAAAAAATATCAACCAGTTTGATAAAAGAAATAAATAGTTTACTTTGAAATTGTTTTACTATAAATCATATGCAAATACGTATTTCTATATCGCAAAATTTTATTTTATTTATACGTTATTAATATTTTTAACACCTACATTTTATCTTGATAAAGTTATTAATTTATTAATCAATTAAAAATCAATATTCTTCTAGTTATTTTTGTACAAATAGTATTCTTAATTTGTTTTTTTATGATATTAATTTGTATTAAGTATTAACTGATAAAAAATATTGAAATGTGTAACATCATTAGGTATGTGAAGATATTAACTTAACCTAATTTCACTATACATATTTATTTTCGTTTATACTGACTCCCATTTTCCCAAGTACTTGATATTTATTTTATGTTTGAAGGTAAGTTCTTCAACGTGAATATTATCCTTGCCATTACATTCCTCATCATCACTCATCACCATGTGTTGATTTCTTTAAATCGTTAAATGCTAGTAGGTATCAGATGTCAACAACTGGATTTTATTAACTTTTTTTAAATTCCTTCGACTGGATTCATCAGTAGAATAACATCATCTAAAAATATAGAAATGTAACAAATTATTCAACGTAAATTCAAAAACGTATTAAATATGTAAACATTTTAGCCAACATAAAAATCATGAATAAACTTGAATTTAGAGCAACAAAATTGAGTAAGTTTTTCTACAAAAATGTTTAACTCTATTTTTAAACGACATTTAATTTATTTTAAATGTTCCGTTATTTAATCTTAAAATAATATATTCTTATTAATAATTTAATGATTATATTATGTTGTTAACTAATAAGGTTCATTCAGTGTATTGCACTTAGGACCAATTAAAATATCATGTTCATTATTTTGCAATACAATTTTCTTCATAGTTCTCTACCTATTAGCTATTATATAAATTATTAAAACAAATATTCTACGAAAACTATCCAAGATGACCACGAAATCAATTTAGCTAAATGGCTCTCAATAATTAACGTTTACAGGTAATCACATAAAAACTAGGTTTCTAAACAAAATCATAATAATAAAAAGAATAACAGGTGCTTGTGGAATAGATTTATTTATGTTATACAATCATTATCTGCTTATTATGCGTAATCATAATAACTAGAAATATTTATAAATGAGAAACAAATTAAAATTAATTGAAAACATTCATTCATCAAAAACATTGAATAAAAGGTATATTCGTGTAAATAATTTGAACAATTCAAGATCAATCACAATAACACGGACTTACCACTTACATAATTTTATTACATACGGTACAAAAAAATGTATAGTATATAATATATATTACAAAAGTAAATGTGTAAATTTATATCATTAAATACTCAGCTACTCTAACTAAACCGATTTGTATTTTCTTATATATTTATGATTAACTCTATCATAATGAATTTCCTTATTAATTACAAGACAATTAAATTTATCTTCAACGGGAAAATTAACAGTTTTTTTTGAAAATAATTTTTAAAAAACAATTTTTGAAATCCAATTTATAATGTCAATATGGCTTAGAAGCTAACTGAAGACTTTTAAATATAATCATGCCAAAAGTTTTGTACTACAATTTTACTATTACATTTTATATTTTTAATGCTTACCTGATAAAACTATAAGCTTTAGATGGAAAAATAAATTATTGTGACAAACATTTTTACTTCGTCAGCTGTTGTGTTGTAGCGTCTACATAATTATTTAGAAATAAATCATCTAAACATTTTTCTATAAAATTGTTCCAATTATACCAGTGGTTTTTATGTCTGTTATAGTGATTTTATTGCAATAGAAATCAACTCTTTATAATTTGTAAAATTATATACAAATATGTGCTTTCAATTTTACCCATTTTAACCACTAAACAAATACTAACAATTATTTACCATCTGATTTTTAAAATCTTAATATAAATATATTTTTAAAAAAAAAATTAATGGAATTTTTTAATACACACAGGTTACATAAGTAAGTAGATTTTATTTTATTTAATAGTGTTCTAACAAGCCAACAAAATTTATTATATTGCTTAAAATATAAAAAAAAATGTATTAATTTTTCGAAAAATAAAATTTTTATTATTTTGAATTATTAGTATATCCAAATTCATTAGAAAATAACTTAAACAGATATAAAGGAAAAAGATATAATATAAGTAAGTTCGGATAGTTTAATAATTTATTAACTATTTAACAAAATATAGACAAACTTGGTCAAAAAAACTGAAATATATATCTGTCAATATAAGACAGTATCTCATTTTAGAAGAGAAATGGAATCACTTTTTTATGTAAAAATATCAAATATATATCATTAAAAGGGTGAAATTTCTATAACTTGAAAATACTGGCACTTATATAATAATTTTAAATTTTTATATCCTAACTTTGATTACAGTTAAAAATTTAAGTAAGTACTAGTTTACTATTAGCATTATGGTAGGTTGATTTATTTATTTATTTTTTTATTTTTTGCTGAACAATTGAATTTATCATATTTTAATACATAATCATTGTAATAATAGGTGGTATATATTTATAATATGTAATATTTTTGTCAACTTTTGAATTAACTTACCGTAGAATAGTATGAATAAGATTATAAGAACATGATACAATAGGAAACAATTTAAAACTAATCTAGATTTTTTCAAAAGGTATTTTCGTTATACATCTATCGTGTCTTACTTTTAAGTAAAAAAAAAAAACTAAAGAATAATGATTTTAGTTATTTTTATGTAATTTGAAAATACTCCTCGAGGAGATGTGAAATTTTTACGCATAATATTAATATATTTTTTATGTAATATATATTTTAATAATAGTAAAATAAATTAATAGCAATTAACATTATACTTATAAAATAATAGGTTGATAGATCGTCTCCACTCCGATTAATTGTCATATGCAATAGTTAAATCATTGAATTTAAATAATACATCCCTTACAATTACTGACTCAAAGAAAAATTACATTCAACCACTACTTTACAGCAAAGAAGTTACCTAATTTCCCAAACTTTTTCCTAATTACTAAAAAAAGTAAAAATTACATGATCTCAAAAGTCATCTTTATAAAAATTTTACAATATTAAAATTATAATAAGTACATTATTATTATTATTATTTTTTTTTTTTATAGCGTTTGAAGTATCAAAGTTCCTCATAACTTTTTTCTTACAAAATTCCAAAAATCTCAATAATTAAAATTATTATAATTTTAATATTAAATAAAAAATGTTTTTAGGAGTATAAACCACAGATTTTATTTTTTGGAAATCAGAAAATTCACTCCCATACTCCTTAAAAATGAAACCAATGATCGGTCCTTCTCCAGTAGGAATGTCATTAGTTTATTGTATTTATTTATGAATGAATAATATTAATTAAGCCGTATTTTATTTTTTTAATTCAAAAAAATTTAGAAAATATTTGTACCTTAAGAATACATACCATATTTGAATCTCAATAAATTACATAAAATATTGTATAAATATAAAAACGTATTTTAAACCTTTGCAGAACTCCTTGGTAAGTAGGTATTTTTACTATATTCTTATTTCTTGGTAATAATACTCCATTAATAATTATAATTTTATATACCAATAATCAATGTTAATGACATTAAAAGAAAAATGCAATTATTATGAGTAAATGAAAATAATTGATTATCCAACTTGAAATCTTAATTTTATCTATATTTAAGTCATTATTATTAAGATCTAACTTCTGGTTTCTTCCTAACCACATCTCCTTTCACTTAGTACATTTTTATTTTCGCACGTTCCTATCTCAGTTTCAGGATATCTGAAATCAACCATCAATACTGCAATTTTCTATTATCCCATAAGTTCTTTCAAACAAAATATATTATTAGTTGCTAACACTACAATAGTCTTCGTTTAGTTAACTATTATTATTCTTTTATAATCTACGTTTACTATACTAGAATTTGGTTTAATTCACTGTTTAAATTGAGGGTAAATTGAGGGTTATTGGGTAATTGTGATTTATTGCTGTCAATGCTGTCATCGATTTTCTTATAACTAAATATCAATCTAAAACAACTTCACTCGTTTTTTTTTTTTTAACTGAAAAAGCTGTTGTTGGATAACTCTATGAAGTAGATTTAATGATCCCTATATCAAATTAATTTGTTGAATTCTCAATTCTTCTCTTTGTATTGATGTGATCTTAAGTTTGACAGACCATTATATTTTAATCGATTATGATACTTGCCATTAGTCCAATTCAATAACAAGCACCGTGTCGTGAATATTGACCTAAATAAAAATTCGTTTGTCAAAATAATTGTTTTGTCAACTATTATAATTTTGACAATGTGATTGATAACTAATTATTAGTATATTTACGAAGTATAAAAAAAACTTTGAAAGACGAATATTAAATTATTATTATCATAAACTTATATGTTTCAAATTGTATCATATTAAATTTATTGTTTTTTACTTTTTCTTATAGATAAACACGTTAAAAAAAATAATCGCGATATTAATTCTGAAAATAAAAATGGTAAATTACTTAATATTTTTATTTAGTGTTATAGATTATGTAGTATATTAAGTATATACTATCTAGTATTTACATAGTATAGAGAAGATACTATAGACCATGTCTCATATTTTAAATTTTATTATAAATTATACTCATTGGTTATTTTATTTGTTTTTTTTTTACTTTTGTTCATAGAAAAATCTGTTCCGAGTAAAAATAAAAATTCCAAACCTAAAATTCAAAAAGGTACTCAATAGTCGCAATATTATTATTTATAATTGTTTTCATTAAAAATCTATATCCACGGCATCCATGGTCGACGGCCGTTGAACATACTCATAATATTGCATCAGTATTAATATTGAAATTTATAAATTATAAAGTTTCACTCAGAAATTTATAAACGTAGGAAAGGGGAAAATATATAATTATTATTATATATAAAATCACATAATATACTAAATAACAATAATAATCCGTTTTGTGTTGAGATGTGTGAGTAATTAGGAATTAAATTAATGTACTAGTGGCAATGTTTCTGTGGTTTTTAATTAACGACTCACACGTATCTAATAATACTGGGTTGGTGGACTAGATCTGGTTTTAAGAGACTGCTTCTTCATACTTATATGCAACCGGTTAGCGGCAATAATACGTGATCATTGATTGCATTTGTACTCATCAAATTTCTATTTTACCACCAATGAGACACCGAATACCAACCACATTATCGCACACACCTATTGTACTCGGTTCTTGCGAAATAATAATTTTTTTACCAAAATTTCTTTCGACAAAACGACTATTATAATTTTAAATTTTTATAATTTAATGGAATGTTTATATATTTTATTGTTTTTATAAAATATTTTAAACATATCTTTTCGTTTATTGATTTTACGATCTAGTCTAATACATTTTATTTTTTAGTAGAAAGTGGTAACAAATAATAGTTTAAACTTTAAACTCTTATGAATAATACAATTTTTTTCCAGGAGAAAATAACAATCATATATACGAAAGTTACGAAGCTGAAAATGACAAAGGTATTATACATTGTTTATTATATTGTATATATAGTCATTTAAATGTACGGTAGGTCAGTTAGGTAAACATAGATAAAATTAAATAATATAAAGTTAATACGCTTCATATTCAATAGACGTGCAATTATAAACATTAGTATTATATTTATAACACATTTTTTAGTTTTAATTAATATGTCTTATAATTACTAAGTACTCTATTAAGATTTACATTTTCAATTTACTAATTACTTAAGTATTTAGAACTTTTAAATGCCTACTTTAATAATGCAGAATTTGAAATATAATAGTATGAATAATTTTTTTTCAGTGGACGAAAAGTATTTTGTTATGTTAAAAACATGTAAGCCGTTTGATATATTATATTTTTCTAAGGTAATACTTAAAGACTTAAAGTACTTATCTGAGTAATTTGAGCATAAATGTTTTAACCATCTAAATAGTAAATTGTGTATTAAAATCACTTATAAATTGAACTTTATACGTATAGATTACAAAAATATCTTCTTTTAAAAATAAGTTCATTTTCAATACATCACTCAAGCTTAATTTTCCCATATCTACCAACAAATATCACCCTTTTTATCAACAATAAAATTCGTATGCAATTATAGTAAAATTGTTATTTTTTTTTGCCATATAAATTAATGAAAAACGCATTTTTACTATAAGCCCATGAAAATATTTTTCATTTAATAAACTATTCACAATTACTGACCTAAAACAAATAATAAATAAGGTATTTTGTTGTATATACGGATTACGACAACTACTAATTATTTAATAATACATAAAAAATTTAGTAATGCAAATCTTAAATTAAATTCGTTTTAATAATTCTATTTTTTTTTTAAGATTTTATAAATTTATTAATGTTTTAGTTTAAAAAAAAAAAGAATTATGCATTCACATCATGTATTATTATTTATTATCAGGTCGGGCGCTTATCGAAGAAAAAGACTATGATACATACGTATTAAGACTAAACAATAATGGTAAAATACATAAATCAAAAAATTACGTTAATAATTTATCATATTTATACAAATAAAAAGCACTTAATATAATTAAATTTCTCAATTCAAAATACCTAAATAATTACACATTTTTTTATAATTATATCAAAGACTAAATATCTATTATTTATATTTATATATTATGTAGCATAATATATAACACAAATATACAATCATATTAAATCAAAAATTTGAAATAAATAATTTATGTTCAATCAAATTTTAAAGAATAGTTCTGAAAATTAGAAATATTCGAAAATTTAACAATATGTAAAATATAACAGAAATCTAAGTTTTGTTTTCTTATTATTAAAGATTGTAACTCACAGTAGGAAGCTACGCGCATAAAAATTAGAGATTTTTTTAGTGTGGTTATTGTGATTTTGTTAATTTAGCTGAATTAAAATTTGTTCGAAAAATCAACAACGTCCAAATTCTTAAATATTTAATTACTCAATACTGAACTATCTAGTAAGTATCTAAATAATTCTAATTTTTAGATTGTGTACCATTGCCCAAATCATTGTGGGAAAGTGAACTAATTGCTTCAAAAAGTAAGACTTTTGAATGTTATAATAATAATATTACACGAATTACCTATATTTTAGATTTTTAGTTATATTATTTTAAAGTGTTACATCTTATATATTAAATTCAATTGTTTACCAACTATAGAGTAATATAGTACATATTATTATGTTCATGAAATCCTATGTAGAAAATACTTTGAGAGGTGTATGCTTGTCCAAGGCCCATGCACGTATATTAAATAATAAATGATCCACTACACCCTTCAATTTTTTTTTAATATTTACACCCTTTTTTTGTTATATTTGTAGTTTTTGCTTCCGTTAATAGATTTTGTGATAGGTAATTTATCTGAACTACACAAATACATCACTGCAATATCTATAAACGTCAATTTTCTGTTGAATTTTTTCGTACAATAAACTTATTATAATGGCACGTATAAAGATTATAAAGTTCGATTGATTACATGGATAAAATTATTTATTTAATCGAAAGAATATAGTTTGTATGTATGACTAAAATCACTAAATATTATTTAAATAATACATTAAAAAAAAATCAATATAGTTAAAACTATTGATGTAAGCAAAAGTTAAATTTTCAAAAAAATTAACGTCAGTTTAATATTATAAATTAATACTATATATGCAAAATATTTCAGAAATAAAGATTGAAAATTTATCGGAGTATAATGAAATTCAAAAAAAGATTTTAAAATAAAATAAATGTTTAATGATATTTATTTTGTAACTGAATAATAATGAAATGTGCCCATTTAATGTCACATATTAAAATTTTAATCTCGTTACCTATCTATTGTTATTAAAATGATTTAACATATTGTTTATTTAACGCTTATGCTTATGGAATTTAATAAACCTAATAAAATACGAAACATTCTCTAATGTTGTTCGAAAACTATTTCATGTTTATAATTTTTAAATAATCAATGTCAAAATAAATATTAAGCAATTGATTCCTGTGAAGTTTTTGTATAATAAAAGACTATAATGTTAATTATTTATCTATAAAGACAAAATGTTAACCATATTTATTGAATAGTATACATAGATATAATAATTAGATTACTTTCAATAATTAATCGATGAATTCAATAATTTAGTCAAACAATGTTAAAGGGTTTTTATTGTAACATAAAACACTTGACTTAAGTGTATTAAGATGCTCGACCAAATCAGTTAAAAAGGATAACTTTGTCCTGCAACTAACTCTGAGTGATAAATGTAATGATTAGACAATAAAGTGTATTTTTTTGTCTGTAATTACCATGCAAAAATTACTTAAAAAACTTAAAAAATTCACTATAAAAATATATTTAAATATAAATAATATGTTGTTACTTGTTTAGTTGAATGTTCTTCTGATTTTTCTTAACCATTAGCAGAAATACCAAGCTATGATAAAATATTAATTATCCACGATAACTTGCCATGCTATATAATGTATTACTCGTATTACCGTTGTTCATCGAAAGTCTCTTGTTAATCGCAACAATTTTCATTCATTTGAAGAACGAATTGTGAAAAATCCTATAAAAACTAAGAAAATACCCTAAAATTGTTAAAAAAAAAAAAAAAATTTCTTTAAAATAATCAGTATTACAGTAGGGTAAAATGGCCGATTTTGCGTAGCTCATAAAGCCATTAGAACCATTTCACCAGCCCTACCTAAATATTTTTCTTAGTCATATTTATTTATTGTTGTTAACTCTTTCCAAACTATAAAACCATTAACCCCCCCCCCTCCCGGTCCAGATATTTCACTAATTAAATAATGATTATATTAATAGCTTGTTTTTGGGCTTTGGTATAAACCATTAAAATAAATGTCCTTCGAGTGATTTCTTATTAATAGCTTCTTAATCTTACCAAGTATTATTTATTGTTAAACATAAACACGTATTTGTTTTCGTGTAAATTTAAATATAAAGCATGATGTCTTTGCCCGATGAAGTCAAACTGTTCTCATAGTTTATGGAAACAGCTTGTGTATTGCTAAAAAATATTCGATTGCACCGAATGTGATAAAGTGTTTACGTCAAATAGTAGTTTGACGCGACATATCAAATCACACAATAGTGATAAAATTCAGTTTTGAATGTAAAAAACTTTCACTTGTCGGGATGTTTTATCGAAACATATTCTTAAACAACATGGTATGTATTCTTTGATTATTATTCAGCTACTAATATTATTAAGATATAAAACTACCAAGAATACTATTTTTATTAGACTATGCTAAACACGATAATAATTACAATTATGCGATTGGTATAAACGGCCGGGCGAAAAGCATTAAGTAAATACTAATTATTTTATTATTATTATTCAATTATTTTATTTTATTATTGTTATTATTTTTTCCTAATGAATACAATCTCGTTTCAGATTCACTGGTGTACCGAGTTTCTACCGACGATTTTTATCAGGACTTATTGAACAATCCGTTACTGTCCAGCCGGATGGATAGATCGAATTTGCCACTAAACCACCCGTGTTATGACAATATACAAAAGAAAGTGCCGGGTTTGTTTAAAAATGAGACGGCAGGTCGAACGATGACCGAGTTCATTGCGCTTCGTGCTAAATCGTACGCGTATAAAATTGAGGGTGTTGAAACACTCAAAGCCAATGGTATTCGAGGTCACGTTGTGCGTAATCACCTCACGTTTTATGACCATAAGCACTGTCTGTTCGAGAACGACGACGAAGACATTGTTGCTACATTTCACGAAGAGGTCTGTGACGATAATTTAAATTGTGAAGGTGATGAGCTGAAGTGTCTTGCGCGTCGAAACGCTAAAGCTGTAATCGATACTCTACATCGAAATGCCGCTTCCACTAGCACTATCAGTACTACTACCAGCTTGCCGCCCCCAGATAATTTACCAAACACGCCGTATAGGCTAAACATAAATTATGGTAATATTAAAATTATAGAAAAGAGTTCATGTCTAAAGCTAAAAACGATGTTACCTACTTAGACCATAGGTTCCTAACCTAACCGGCGGTCCGTAGATGGTTACTCGGGGGTTCACCCAGAAATAAATTTGTTTCGATAGCGTTTTTAAGATTACAATAATAATGTATTGTCCGCATTTATTTAATTATATATTTTTATTTGATGGGGGTTCCTGATTAACCTAACGGGTCTGGTAGTAGATAAACTCATCTATTTTTAGAATTCGGTGTATTCTAATAAAATTGTCATCATCGTCGTTTTATACAAATATAAAATATACACAAATATTTCTTGAAAATAATAAAAATTCTAACGATACCGAATTACCGACCACTTTGACCAGATGTCAAATTTGCCGACTTAATATTTAAAAATCATGAATGGAGGTTAGACACCCCCCACACCCCCTCAAAAGACGACCCTGAATTTAACGAAACAAAGCTGAATTTTTTTCATAAAATTAAAACTGAAATTTTCAAATTTTAAAGAACTGAATTGAAACTGAAATTTAAAATATATACTCTAGTCCTGGAACGTTGACATGCTTCTATTCCCTACTGCTTCATAAACTTTGATACCAACTGAGTTACATTTTCTGAAAGTATTAGGTGTGGATAATGAACAATAGATACGTAAAATGAAAACGAGATTTTCGTCCTTAGTGGTGCATTAGTGTCGAAGATTATCTTGGATATAACTGTATTCCCTTTTACCAAAGCCAGTTCGGCCAATTTATACTGAAGAATCCGTTACAACACGAGTTTACTCAAACATTCAGTATTTCCAGGACCTGATTTACTAATTTATAGGCCAGGTACAATTTATAATTTTGGGCCTCAAATCGACCATCTTTATTTTCTTTAATGCTAAAATATAATATATGCATCAAATAGTTTTAAATTTATGTTGTTTGTAATTACTTATTTATTATTTAAATTAGAAGTTTTTTATGATATATGAAATAAAAATTAAATAATTTGTGTCATTACTTATAATTTAATATTTTCATACACATACATATATATATATATATATTATATATATTGTACAGATTAAATAAATAATTTGAATATTCAGAGGAAAATAGACATAGTTCTAGTTTAAATCTAGTTCAAAAAAATGTGAGAACGAAAACTATCTCAGTTTTGAAGGATAAGACCACCTAACTTTATAGCCTAATTGAGTACGACCAGTCGTGCAAGTATTGTTTTTACCCTAAAATTAAGATAAGTACATTAATTCAAGCTTGATTTGTATAGTTTATTTGAGCGTGGAATTTTTAATAAACACTTATTAGTAATTAGTAATTTGTATTCACGGGACTACTTAGGACGAGGTCGTAATAAGATGAATCTCTGTTCAAGTTATAAGAAATGTAGTCGACTGTGGTCAGCGACCAATTTTCGTCGGACGTTAGTTAGACAACATCCGTTTGTTTACCTATCCTTAACAAGTCAACCGTCTGTATACTGTATAGTGAAGCTACTGCACAATAATCGGCTACAGACTACGTTTCTTAACTTGAACAGAGTATATTATACATAGAAAAAAATAATTATTCATACATGTATAATTTAATATATTATATAATATTATAAATATTATAAATATATACAAATTAATATAATATGATCTAATCTTTATAGCCATTCTCGTAAAGTTCATTACCTGTACAAGTACAACGTACATCCGTGTAAATTTGATATCTAAGTAATATTTTTGGTTTTCTGATTTGGTATACAGATGATAATTCCAACATGGCGACATATCAACTTTACACAGTTGTTCTGCCCACCGTTGCTATTTTTTTTTTTTTGGCTATTTAACAGCAGAATTTTTTAAAAATTATTTTTGTTTTTTTTAATAGTCTGAACCATAACGACGAAAAGATTTTGTACTGTTATATTATATACTTATATCAACTTTTCACTAAAATACTAATTTCTAATAATAATTAATAATTGGTAACAACTAACATGGATGAAAAACAAAAATCTTTAAGTACATATTTGCTAATTATTAAAAGAATTAATAATTTGATTTTTCATTAACTTGTAGTCTGTAGAATTAGAATTAAATTTAAAACCTGCTCCACGATGTATCTATACTTTTTAAATTTTTTAAAACATCGAAATAATCTAATGAGTAGTTTCAGAAAACATGTATGATAAAGATTTTCACTTTCACATTTAAATGTATAGTAAATACAAATAGGATAATTATTTTAATATCTATTGTAAATAATATTACCTATTTAGTATATAATATAATAATGGTATTTTTTAATAATTAATATAACTTACACTTGATATTTGTAAATGCATGGGCGCCATGTACAGAGATCTGAGGTGAGCTAAAGTCCTCCATGAGATTTTTAAGGCGGGGTTTAGCCGTTCATAGATCATGGTTTTTATTTAAAAAACCATTCATATGTGTCAAATTTTATCTTATGATGAAAAAATAATAAGTATTAAATATGATTTATAAATACGTTTATACATTTGTTAATTTATTTATAACATATTATTTACATTTGCAAAATTTTTTATTTTTATTTTTGTGAGATTTGGAGAGGGGCGTCACTTCCATGGCCCTCTCTTGTATTCACGCTATGTTCTAACTTCTAGGCCCAGTTGTAGTCTATTATATTACAGTAATGAACGTGCTAAATAATAATATACCCAATAATGAGCTTCATAACATTTTACCTATTTTATACTTCAATACATGTTAGTACATAAAAAGTAAATGGTTTGAAACATTTGAGTGTTTAGGATTTCTTTTAAAAGGAAGATATGACTAAAATTGTCAGTGCCAAACTCTCAGCATTTTATTACCTACTGATAAAGTAATAAATGGAGAATGCAAAAATATAACAACATAAAATATATAAGCTAAAAGGGAGATCACAGGGGGGAGGTATATTTTCTTATCTTCCCCATACATGCGCCACTGGTTTTATGTTGTATCCATTTTTTGATTCTTGAAATATCTGAAGTATGGTTGTTACAAGATAATTTTGAAAATTTTAAATCACTGGCGGGAAAATGCTCCTTGCATACATCATTGTAGACACCCATATGTGTATATATAACATGGTAGGTACTATATTAGTTATAAAAGTAAAATATTACATAAATAAATAAAATATATATAAATATAATATGTATAAATATATACATATATGTTAGGTAGGTGTATAAAGTGTGACTTGTATGGTTCGCTGAAAAATTCTTATTTATTAGGTATATTATTATATGCGGTATTATGGTCTATGGGCGTTGTATCATAAATCGGAATGCCGAGTAAACTTTATGGCGGAACGCTTTTCGCTCCAAAAGTTGACCCAATTCTGCAACAGTGACTGGACTACGATTAAGTCATTCGTTGGTATTGACAGTATGTTTTCAACTCACTCGTCGTCCTTAATACTAGAGCACCGATAATTTTAGGGTACCCATACGGCCATATATTGCAACAAAATTTTAGGTTTACACCGTGGACATCATCTGAGTATCTGACGCGTATGCGTACATACAAGAATAATTAAGCGCTTGGGCCGTTTACCATAATATTTTGCTTGTGATGCCATTCGCCATGTAACACTGACTATTGACTACAGAATACTCAACGACTCTTCGCGAACGCTTTTCGGTCACCTCACCAAAGATTATTATTACAATTTTCTTCCCCTTCTTTGCACGCCACCATTGAACTATCGAAGCACCGTTGCAATGATAACAGTACATTTCGCCATGTTTGTTGTTGTGCGCCCGTTGATTAGATTTTTCTGTTTATCATTTTCTGCTCGTACAATTCACAACTGAATATTGAAATTTCTAGTACTGTGCGTTAAGCTTTTGTGTCCGATTTCTTCCGTTATTTTCGTTATGTTTTACCTGTCGTTACTATTATCCGAAAATTAGCCATGGTGCCGCTCGTGTCTTGTAAATAATAACGACTCCAAACGTTCGTGATTCCCCGGAATTTTGTACGTTGTCCCTGGAGGATTTCCACAATGGCGCTAATTGGCTCCTTACGACCTAAAGCTCTGAGCCAGTCCGGCGATATCATTGAGTTGTGGACATGAACTTTAGTGTTGGTTGGGCAGCTTCTAAGACGATTGTTGTCCCGGTAAGTGCCGACTACTGGCTATTTATTTTCAATTTGCGATTTTAATTGCGTCATAATTGGGTCAAAACATCGTCCTTGTAGGTTTTTCCTCGTCAATCCCATTGCAGTAATATGGATGAGAAGATCAAACTGGAAGACTGTCATCTGGAGCCTGATGCTCCAACAGTTGTCTCTGAAAAGGGTGTACTGTTAAGGACCAGTGCTAGAGTGTCCAAAAAATTACGTATGACGCCAGCATCTACTTCACCTGGACCCAGTTGTACCAAAATAGGTTTGTTGTGTTTCTACATAGTATCTACACCCTGGCCTCGCATAAATATGATTTATATTTATGTACAAATCATATATCTGTTACAGATTCCAATGATGCTCCAGTTTTCAAGTCTTCAAAAATTAGACGAGAACTTTGGTCAGCCGAGGATACCAATTCTTTTTTTGAAGGATTAAATGAGTTTGGCAAAGATTTTGAATCCATTCAATGGTTTATGGTGAACCGAGCTAAGCGTAAAGGTTCTTGTGAACAGGCTATTAAAAGTAAAGAACAGTTGAGGCATTTTTATTATCGGACATGGCACAAAATTTGCAAATATATCGAATTTCCCAAAGGTAATAATTAATGAGTAATAATATTTATAGTAATTTATTTGCTTAAAATGTATTATTCATGTAACTTGATTATTGTAGAAATGCAAAAAGTAGTGCAAGAGCTTTATGGATTAATTAATTATGGTGAACTTAAACGAAGAATTGGATTTTGTAATGATAAAAATTGGTCAAAACTGTATGAAATGATTTATCATGGTTCAACTAAAGTCAGAAGTAAAGGAAAATTGTGGAAAGTTAAAACACCACATTGTAGAGCTTTGAGAAAGCTCAACTGTCTTGAAGGTATAATGTATTTATTTTACTGTTTCTATATTTTGTTCTAATGCAATTCATATATTTTTAGATACGATTGGAGACTTAAAACTGCCTGGAAAAGTTAGTGTTGAATTAAGGCCTCGAGATATGGATACGTGGTCTTTAGTGCAATCACTTGCCATGAATCCTC